TGCTGAGTGAAAACTGAAAAGTCTGGTTTACGGCATCAGAGAGAGAAAATGAATAGAAAAAGGGGAAATCAGTGGATCGTGGGGAAAGGCGGAATACGTACGGCATTTTCCGGAGTATAAGTCGCTCTGGAGTTTAAGTCGCACCAGCCATAAAATGTATAATGAAGAAGAATAAGAAAAAAAACATGTATAAGTCGCACTGGACTATTAGTCGCATTTTGGGGGGAAATTTTATTATTTTTCTTACAAAATCTGAGACCAAGCGTTTCACATTGCAAGACAAGTACCGGTAACAATAACAGAATGAACAACCAGCTTTTGCATCAGCGCGCCACGGTCTCCGGCAGAGGATGGCAGTGTTTCAAGACCTCCCAGCGGGTGGGGAGAGCGCCCGCAGCACCCTGCCACAGGCTGCAGCAGGTGATGGCGGTGTTTGAAACCCTCCCAGTGGGACAGGGGAGCTCATTCCTGGGCTGAAGCCACTCGGCCCGCAGCAGCGCGCCACAGGCTGCAGCAGGTGATGGTGGGGCAGAGGAGCTGAAACCTGGGCCGGATCCAGTGCGCAATGGCACGCAACAGGCTCCAGCAGGTGATGGCTGTGTGTTTTTTATTCCTAGTGGGGCAGGGGAGCTCATTCCTGTTCCAGAGCTGGCCCACAGCAGCGCGGTATAGCTTAAATAATTTGGTATATAAGTCGCAGGGCCGGCCAGACTATGAAAAAAAGTGTGACTTATAGTACGGAACTGCTTTTTAAAGGAGACCTCTGAGTCCACTGATCTCAGGCTCAGGGGGAGAGAGGTCCAGAGTCTGGGGGCCACAGCAGCAAATGATCTGTCACCTTTGGTCTTTAGCCTGGTGCTGCACAACCAGTAGGCTTTGATCACTGGACCTCAGGGACCTGCTGGGGGTGTAGGGACTGAGAAGATCGTCTCGTCTCGTCTCGTCTCGTCTTCCTCCGCTTATCCGGGTCCGGGTCGCGGGGGCAGCATCCCAACTAGGGAGCTCCAGGCCGTCCTCTCCCCGGCCTTGTCCACCAGCTCCTCCGGCAGGACCCCAAGGCGTTCCCGGACCAGATTGGAGATGTAACCTCTCCAACGTGTCCTGGGTCGACCCGGGGGCCTTCTGCCGGCAGGACATGCCCGAAACACCTCCCCGGGGAGGCGTCCAGGAGGCATCCTGACCAGATGCCCAAACCACCTCAACTGGCTCCTTTCGATCCTCCTTGAACCGTCACCTTATCGTGGTGGAGGAGTTTGAGTGCCCTAATGATCCTAGGAGCTATGTTGTCTGGGGCACTTAGTGCCCCTGGTAGGGTCTCCCATGACAAATTGGTCTTAGGTGAAGGGTGAGACAAAGAACGGTTCGAAGGATCTTTCATGGCGGTTAAAACAAAGAGTCGGAGTACCCGGCCCGGAGGGTTACCGGGGTCCCACCCTGGAGCCAGGCCTGGGGTTGGGGCCCGTGAGCGAGCGCCTGGTGGCCGGGCTTTCGCCCATGGGGCCCGGCCGGGCCCAGCCCGAACCGGATACATGGGCTCGTCCAACTGTGGACCCACCACCCGCAGGAGGAACATGAAGGGTCCGGTGCAATGCGAATCGGGTGGCAGACCAAGGCGGGAGCCTTGGCGGTCCAATCCCCGGACAAGAAAACTAGTTTTTGGGACTGAGAAGATCACCAATGTAAAATGGTGCTTGTCCATGTAAGGTCCTATAGACCAGAACCAGGATCTTGAAATGAACCCTGAAGTTGACTGGCAGCCAGTGAAGCTGGAGGAGAAGCGGGGTGATGTGGGTGTGTTTGAAGGACTTGGTCAGAAGCCGAGCACAGGCATTCTGAACCACCTGTAGACGGTTCAGGGAGGTTCTGCTCAGACACGTGAAAAGAGAGTTACAGTAGTCTAAGCGTGAGGAGATGAAGGTGTGGAGAACAGTCTCAAGTTCAGAGCGAGACAGAATGGGACTCAGCTTAGCAACGTTCCTGAGATGGAAGAAGGAAGAGCGAACAAGAGAACTGACATGAGGATCCAGAGTGAGAGCTGGGTCAAAGGTCACACCAAGATTCCTGACAGAAGGTTTGATGTGAGAAGCAAGCTGACCAAGAGAGTCTCTGACTTTGGGAACCAGCTTGTCTGGGGCACAGATGAGGATCTCAGTCTTACCTTCATTCGGCTGTAGAAAGCTCCCAGCCATCCAGGTTTTGATAGAGTCTAAGCAGGTGTGCAACAGCTGCAGCTTAGACATCTCATGGGGCTTAAAGGAGATGTACAGTTGCTAAATGGTAAATGGCCTGTATTTGTATAGCGCCTTCTTAGGGCTCTACAGTCGCCCAAGGTGCTTCACAACACAATCAGTCATTCACCCATTCACACACACATTCACACCTTGGTGGGGATGAGGTACGATGTAGCCACAGCTGCCGTGGAGCGCACTGACGGAGGCAAGACCTGCTGAATTGCCCAAGGACACAACAGAAGAATTCTCTGGTCGGAGCCGGGGTCGAACGTGCAACCTTCCGATTACTGGACAACCCGCTCTATCTCCTGAGCTGCTGCTGTCATCTGTGGATGTCATCTGCATGAAGATGGTAGGGGACTCCTTTAAAAAGTAAGTGGTAAAGTTGCGTTTTTGTTATCCAATCCATGGTGAGATGTCCACTTATCAGAGCTCCAAAACCTGCCGTCCGAATCTATGATATGATGTGTGTCAAATCCTGGACATTGTGCAACAGGGGTCTTGCTTTACAGTGGAAATGTAACAGTCACTATTTGTGCAGCCTCAAGGAGGAAAACAAGTGTACACTTGGCTTTGGGTTGGAAAAAAAAACATGGATACAACACATTACAGTTACCAACAAGATATATGGTTCCTATGTGTCTACAAGTCGAATGGAACGGGCTACTTATTTCAAAGATGACAGGAGAACTGTTAGTCTCGTTTAACAATTTGACATCCATCAGACAAATGTCATGATGGCTGCTCTGTGCTAACACTTGTTGGGTTGTTTTGCTTTCTCAAAGTGGAGACGTATGACGATGATGGGGATTTACAATGAAAAAGCAGTGGACTTCCAACCAGATGCCCCCCCCCCCCCCCCCCCACACACACACACACACACACACACACGCACACACACACACACACACACACACACACACACACACACACGTAGACATACCAGGAGGGAGCTCAGCAGCTCTACTAATTCCTTTGATTCTCTTTATTTTGATAGAAAGAAAATGGGACTTATGTGTGGATTTTCCTGTTTCCTTTGAACCAACACATCCATTTATTTGATGTTTTTTTTTTTAGCAACTCCAGAACCCCAGAATTCTTTGGTAAACATTAAAACGAGCAACTATTGGTGCTGGTTTTAAAGACTGTGTCTTTCTGGCCAGGTTGTCCTCTTAAACACTGCAGCAAAAATGGGACCTCATGATTTTTCCTTCAGCGTCGATGGAGCTTGTGTTGACTAACGCCGATGGCTGCCACTGTGATGGATTTGAAGCACTTCAGAAAACAAGCACAGCCTCATTTAAATCGTGCCAGTCCACTCTACACATCAGCACAGTTTAACAGCAAGATGAGAGTTAACTTCAAAGTGGGAAGGCAAAGAGTCCGACTCATGCAACCCCTCTGAAGTCTGGTCTGGTGTTTGGAAGGTCTCTTTATACCAGGAACCAAGATGGTTATCCATATGCATGTGCTAGTGTAAAATAACCAGCTGTCTCCTTGCTGGCTCATGTTTCAGTGTCTTTGATTGCAACAAGGGAAGACAAATCAAACCAGATGACTGGTTGTGTTTGAACGAAAAGACCATCACTCCTCCTAGTTTAGCATTTTGTTAGGTTTAAAGGAGGACATTGACACAGTTTGGGGGGTTTAAAGGCTGCATTGGATTGCTGTCTGAAAATCTTAAACATAGTTCATGCAATAGGTTCTGAACACACCTTTATTGTTATCAGGTTGGCACACAGCTATCCCAGCAGGTATTTTGTTCGTACTGGAATCAAACCTCATAGGAGTGCCGCTAGCTCCTGTAAATGACCACAGATTTCTGTGTAAATGGTCATCTAATGCAACATTGATTCTGATTTGATGGTCTTGGTGTGACCTTTGACCCAGCTGTCACCCTGGATTCTCATGTCAGTTCTCTTATTTACTCTACCTTCTTCCATCTCAGGAACATTGCTAAGCTGAGTCCCATTCTTATTTTCTATATTCAGTCTGTGTTTTTCTTCTGAAGGCATTTATAGGTAAATTTCTTTTTACACGGGAAAGGTGTTTTCAGCAAGCTGAATCGCTCCTGCGATTTTCGTCAGAGCTAGCCGCTAATGGCGGCATCACATCCTTTTCCATTTACCCGCGGGCAGCAGAGGACAGTGTCACCCTCTGCACAGCACAGAACCTTGTGGGACACCATGGGTGAGGGATGTGGTGGAGGACCAAAGCTTGGAGACGGCCACAGAGAAAAAACGCGAAGAGGAGAACCACTCCAGAGCAGATCATGATGGACAGGCTATTCTTTGAGACATAAGCAGATAAAGGTATACTTAAGTATTTGCTTCTTCTTCTTCTTCAGCGATGGTGTATGGTGGACCTGCTGTAAAAACTGATTGCCGTAGCGATGAACATGTCTGTATGGTCAGAATTGATCTTTGTTTCTTCAAACTGAAGTTATTTAAAGAGTTGTCTAAAAAAGGTTAGACCTGGAAAAACACGACACAAATTAAAGATGACAAAGGTTCAGTTTAGACACAGATAGAGCCAAGTCCAGTATTTGTTCAGCTACGATTTTAATGTTTTCATTGTGAGCACGTTGTTGATGTCGGTTGTAAAATGAAAACAATTTTAAAACTCTAAAAATATCTCCAAATGCATCATTCAGTCATCAGCTGTGACCTGAAACGAGGCTGAAAGGGTCACGACCCCACTGTTCATCTTTGTGTAAGTGCAGCCCAGTGCACGGCTCCTTACACACACACACACACACACACACACACACACACACACACACACACACACACACACACACACACACACACACTCACACACACACACACACACACACACACACACACACACACACTCACACACACACACACACACACACACACACACACACACACACACACACACACACACACACACACACACACACAGCCTCGTGCCCACTGCAATGGCATAATTAGAAACATTTGGGATCATTTGCAAAGGGAACACAAACGCTGATGGGAACCAGATGCACCGCTGACTTTCACCGACTATACAGGAACCCCTTGTTTACGAGGGGCCACTGCTGGCTCTTCACGCAGGGAGGTGTGTATGTGTGAGTGTGTGTACGCTGCCTCATTTGTCCACCTACTAGATAGGTGTTTGGACACAGATCATCCGTACTCAGGTCAGGCTCTGTTTAATGGCTTTGCATTTGGTGAGAAAATGAGGATTGTGTTTATTTAATGAGAGTTCATTAGAAGGAAAAAGAAAAGGTACTGAAAAGCAGAAATGTGATGAAAGCTTCCTCTAAATAAAATCCACACAGTCCTCCCTTGGATTAGTTTAGTTGTCATCTTCTTTCAGTGCCTGTAATCGATTTTCTGTAGGAAAGGAAAAGAAAAAGTCACCTCATCAGATCCTTTATACAAACGACTGCAAACTAGATCCATTTGTGAGGATTAGTCATTGGCATTAATATAGGGATTAGTCTGTAACAGATAGGCTTCACATGTGAGGAAGTGCTGCCACCTTGTGAACAATATAAGAATGATGAGATGTATTTTCAGTTTCTGTTAACAGCATTAGAGTACACACTGTATTCAGAGCTGCAGCTGAAGGAAACACGATTATTGGTTACTTACGTATCTAAATGAGGTGTTTCCCCTCACACAGCTGCAGCTGGCAGCTAGTCTGTGTCAGGAGACAGAGATGCAACAATGAGATATGATCTGCAGATTTTTGTTGATATGCAAACAAAACTGAGAAATTATTAATTACATGAGCAAAACAACGCACACTCAAAAACATTGAGAATACTCTGTAAAACTGTCAAAAAGGAAAGTTGTGTGAGGAAAACTAAGTAAATCTTTGTAGCTGCTGCAGGATTTAAAGTGACAGCGTGTAGTTTCCCTGGAGATAGGGGGCGGTAGATACCTAAATCACTGCAAGCAAGCAGTATTTTTGTGTTCAAATAAAACCTTACCAACGGATGGCCATTAGGGTCAGAAATTACTGGGAGTGCAACCTCCAGCAAAACAACAAGAACATCAGATTCCCTTTCATCACTGGCAACAAGTGAAATTTTGTAACCATTTGTTACAGATCAGTAAATGCATTGTGTCCTCACAGACCTCCGAAGAAGGAAACATGGCATCCAATATGGCGTCGCCCAGAGACTTACACCCGCTCCCATGTACTTTAGAACAGATTTTTATAGTTATATGTTATGAAACTGCCAATAATTTCCACAACTGGGCATCTTTTAAGTCATTTACTACAACATTTCGATGGATATTTCCAGAGATTAATAGTAAAAACTACACATTGTCACTTCAAGAGGTTCAAAAACAGCCAGCTGCTGATTGGATGTCATGTGTTTACCTCTGAAAGAGCAGTGGTTAGCTGGTTTGTAGCACACATCACAATATTATTCTACTACTACTACTACTACTACTACTACTACTAATAATAATAATAATTAATTGCACATTTTTAAGTCAGAGACTTAAAAGTACTTTACAGTACAATCATTCACACATTGATGGTGAAGAGCTACATCGTAGCTACAGCTGCCCTGAGGAACATTGACAGAAGCAAGGACCACCTAGTAGAGCCCTGTACTGAAGCCTTAGGCCCTCAGGTTGGCTCGGCCCGACGGCCCGAGGGCCGGGCCAACGACTGTGTAATTACCTCGGACACGGGCCGGGCTGGGTGCCTTTATTTTTAATCGAATTCATTAAAAAAAATGAAACACTTAAACGCAGCAGTAGAGCCCTGCGCGGGACTGTTTTCTTCATCCCGCTCCTGCCCGCTCCCGCTGAATTTCTGACCATTACCGCCCGCACCCGCAGCGTGCATGTCTACTCCCGCCCGCAACCGCAAAACTCGGAGAAATTATTACCTCACAATAAAAGAGATGCATTGAGTTTGCGTCCTCAACATGTCATTTTATAGGCTTTACCGGGGGTCGGCAACCCGCGGCTCTTCCATCCGTCTGATGCGGCTCTCTGTGCTTGTAAAATAATGAATGGATATTTAAATAAAATGCTTTATATTTTACAGAATTAATTTTATATATGTAAGTCAATTCTATGTAAAGATTCTGCGTAAACCTGAACAGGCCCAACCCAGTGTTACTGTGAGACCGGGTTGATGCGTCACGCTTGTGCGTAATCATAGGAGCATTCTGAGCTGACGAGGATGTGTGATTCTGGGACTCTCCTCAGATGGCTCCTGGATGTGTCGCCACATTGGAGACAGGAACAAGCACTATTCAGCCAAAGTTTCATAATCAGGGAACATTTTCTAAGTGACAAGTCTCTCTGAGCGACAGGGTTTGGAAAACACTTGCTTCAGTGGGAGGAACCTTCCTGCATGCACTTTGGTTCTGCGATGCGCTCCAAGCCAATCTCCACAACTTCAGCTCGCTGTGCACATATGTACTGACAGCGAGCTGCGCTGAGCAGCTCAGATGTTCAGATGGGAATCTTTTCTTGGGTGATTTAGCTACATCTGCGATGTGCATAACGAATAAAATGTCAGTTCGTCTGCATGCGTCGGAGTAATTCTTTCTATTATTTCTCCGTCAAAATAAACCGTCAAATACGGGAACTATCCGGTCAACACAAGCCCTGCTTTTGACTGTTTGGTTTTCTTGTGAAAATTGTTGGAAAGAGATAAAATTTAACTTGATTACCACCAGAGCCAGTGCGCCGTTAACTCCGTGACGGTAAATGAGGGAAAAACAAATTGATCGGATCCCGCACGTCTTTTAACACACTGGTCAGGATTGACGCACTTTGTTTTCATTTAGTTGGTTAAAAAAAAGTCAGGCTCGGGCCGGGCCAGAGAATCCTGAAAACCTTTTCGGACCGGGTCGGGCTGGGGCTCCACCTCCTCAGGCCGGGCCGGACACGGGCTCAGATTTTAGGCCCGTGCAGGGCTCTACCACCTAGCCCTCTGACCACCAACAGCAGGTAAGCTTGATGACGTGTCTTGCTCAAGGACACATCAACTGACCCACATGAAGCCTGGATTTGAACCAGCAACCCAATGGTTATAGGGTGGGCATCTAACCCCTGGGTTAGTCACCAATTGGCTTTACGTAGAGTGAGAAGCAACTCTTGATGCACCTCATTGATAACTCCCCCTAAGGTCAAACTGTTGAATGCAGCTTGGCTGCTACAGCCTCCAGATAACAGGTCAAAGGTCAAAGGTCATTGCAGGAGAGGAGGGCTTGTTTGAAAAGGTTGCAGGAGAAAACATCCTTAAGTATGTGTTATCTGAATGAACTAGAAAACTTCTGGAATGATGTTTCTCAGAAAGATTAGACCAAGGTAAAGATGTTTGCCCATAATGCACTGGGTCATGCTTGGTGCAAACTAAATACAGCCTATCAGAACCAAGCTGATCCAGTTGTCAGCCCGGTGGTGGAGAGCTGATGGTTTGGGCTCTTTACAGCCTCTGAGCCTCCCAGGAACTCTGTAGACCAAAGTCCTCTAGAACCTAATGTGAGTCTGAAAGTTGAGGTTTGGACCAAACTGGGTCATTGAACAGAACAATGGTCCAAACACAGCAGCAGATCTGCAACATAACAGGTGCTGTGGTGGTCCAGTCTCAATCCAGACCTGAACCTGAAAGTCTAGTGGTAGATCCTTCAGAGAAGTGCCTGGAACTAAAGCAAGAGGTTAGAGGGCCCTGATGAGCGGGACTCAGATTTCCACACACAAACTTCTTTTGTACAAAAGAATAGCGACACGGTGGAATCTTTCTATCCTTAATAACAGGAGAAAATATCCGAGTATCATTGGGGGTGTTATGGAGTGTTGCTGACCTTGTTGTGCTGGAGGCTCTCTTCAAGATCTGACCAGTTGTGATGTCATCAGTCTTCATTGCTGCACTGTTGCCTCTAAACATCCACCAACGTTGTCGCCGTGTTGTATTCTGTGATCTTTCATGTGCCAATGAACTGATGCAGAGGAGGAAGAATCCCTGCAGACAACAATTCCTTTCAAGAGTTTGGCACACACGCACACACACACACACACACACACACACACACACACACACACACACACACACACACACACGCACGCACGCACGCACGCACGCACGCACAGACACAGATGCTTGTGTGTATTTTTGTTTACAGAACTTGTGTACCTGCTGGTGGCCGACAGAGCGTTAGTTGGACTTCGGGTGGTGACGTCTTGAACAGCTTTAGCACTTTCTAGAAAAAGGAGAAGAGCATTTTACACAGAAATGACATGGATATAAAGGCCACGACGGAATGATCAGAATTTTACAAAACAAGTACTATGATCTGGTTTGTACGTGACATTTTAGGTTAGATGAGCTCCTTAATGGATGCAGGACTGGTATACAGAACAACACAGAAGAGTTTGACTATAGAAACAGAGAAAGTCTATCCTAGTTCAGTTCTAGAGTTGATCAGCAGGACATATTGAAGGTCCTAAATCTTGTAAAATTAACTTTTTGGAGCTTTTGACCATGTTTCCTCGTTATTTTCTTCTGAAAAACAGCCCCAAAGCATGTTCCTGTCTCAGATGCTACTTCATGTTAGCCTTGCTAAGCTATTGCAAAAGGTTGGATGAGGCATGGCTGTGTCATCATTGCCCCGATCCCCTTCCAGGTACTCGAGTCCAGATCACCCAGTCTATCTATTTAGCTAGCAGGATGTTTAACCTCCACATTCATGAAGAAGTGATGCGTTTCTAATCTAGTCTGCACTTTAAATAATACCAAGAACCCAAGAGTGAGTTTTAGTCTGCAAGAGAACAGGAGCTGTGAGTACAATCAAAATGCTAACTGCTAGCCTCTAGCTGTTTGGCTGTAAAGTTTGGTGTGTGAGTGTCAGAGACGGACTGGAACAATATTTCAGGCCAAGAATTTTATCCATTTGAGTGGTGTGTGTGTGTGTGTGTGTGTGTGTGTGTGTGTGTGTGTGTGTGTGTGTGTGTGTGTGTGTGTGTGTGCCTATATCATTGCTTATATCAATAACGCCCTTCAACATGGGTTCATCCGCCTTTCCACCTCGCCAGGAGCCGCGGGTTTCTTCTTTGTAAAGAAGAAGGAGGGGGTCTTCGCCCATGCATCGACTTCCGGGGTTTAAACAAGATCACGGTCCGCGATCGCCACCCCTTGCCTCTAATGACCACCGCCCTGGATGTAGTGTCCCAGTCCACCATTTTCACCAAGTTGGACCTACGCAGTGCGTACAATCTGGTCAGGATAAAGCAAGGCGACGAGTGGAAGACCGCCTTTATCACCCCGACAGGCCACTGGGAGTACCTTGTGATGCCTTTTGGCTTGTGCAAAAGCCCCGCCGTTTTCCAACGCCTCATTACGGACGTCCTGAGAGACATGTTGGGCAGATGGGTTTTCGTCTACCTCGATGACATCTTGATTTACTCCCGAACCCTAGAGGAACATGTCACACACGTCCGAGCAGTCCTCTCCCGGCTGTTGGAAAACCGGCTCTACTGCAAGCTGGAGAAGTGTGCTTTTCATCAGGAGACCATTTCCTTCCTGGGGTTCATCGTCTCATCCCAGGGTTTCTCAATGGACCCCCAGAAAGTTCAGGCTGTGGCCCAATGGCCGATACCCACTTCCCTGAAGCAGCTGCAGAGCTTCCTGGGCTTTTCGAATTTCTACTGACGCTTCATACGCGGTTTCAGCTCCATCACGGCCCCTCTCACTGCCCTAACCAAAACATCCAACCAGACCCGCCCATTCCGTCTAACCCCTGAGGCCACACAGGCTTTCCACACCCTGGTCCATCGCTTCACCACTGCCCCCATCCTCGTGCACCCGGATCCAACAAAGCCTTTTGTGGTGGAAGTGGACGCTTCTGAAGTGGGAGCAGGGGCGGTCCTGTCCCAACACGGTCCCGATTCCAAACTGCACCCTTGTGCTTACTTCTCCCATAAATTCACATCAACCCAGAGCAATTATGGGGTAGGTGACAGGGAACTCCTGGCTATTAAATGGGCCTTGGAGGAATGGCAGCAGTGGTTGCTGGGCACAACGGACCCTTTTACCATCTGGACGGACCACCAAAACCTCATCCACATCCAGCATGCCTGGCAACTTAACCCCTGTCAGGCCCGCTGGGCGCTTTTCTTTGAACCCTATCACTTCCACCTGGCCTATCGTCCCGGTTCAAAGAATCTGAAGGCTGATGCCCTCTCCCGCCGTTACACCCAGTCTGCACCAGCCAGGGAACCACCTCCTATTCTCCCAGCCCAGAAAATCATTGCTGCTCTCCACTGACCGGTAGAGGACGCCATCCGAGCTGCCTTGCCCACCGATCCCGCACCAGCCGATACGCCTCCCGACAGGCTTTATGTGCCTTCCTCCTGCCGCTCTGAAGCCCTGGCCTGGGGGCATGCATCCCGTCTGGCTGGGCACCAAGGGGAGACCCAAACCCTCCAGTTCCTGCAATGTGCACTATGGTGGCCCTCCATGGCTAAAGACGTAAAGGAATACGTGGCCGCCTGTCCCACTTGCGCCCGTTCCAAGACACCAAACCAACCCCTGACCGGAGATCTACAACCTCTCCCAATACAGCACCGACCATGGTCCCACATCGGTCTGGACTTTGTGACCGGGCTACCTCCTGTCAACCAGCTCGAGACCATCCTAACCATCGTGGACAGGTTCTCGAAGGTGGTTCACCTGGTGGCGCTGCCTGTTCTGCCCACAGCCAAGCAGACGGCTGAGATCCTCCTGGAGCAGGTGGTGCGCCTCCATGGTTCCCCCAGGATATTGTTTCAGATCAGGGACCCCAGTTAATGTCCAGATTCTGGAAAGCCTTCTGTCAGCTGGTTGGTGCCAGTAGCAGTCTCTCCTCTGGTTACCACCCCCAAACCAATGGGCAGACCGAGCGTACCAATCAGCAGTTTGGTCGGTACCTCCGCAGCTTTGCCTCGTCTCAGCCAACCACTTGGCCCAAATACCTTCTGTGGGTGGAGATGTCCCATAATCTCCACATTTCCTCGGCCACTGGTCTCTCCCCGTTCGAGCTCTGCAATGGGTACCAGCCTCCTCTCTTCCACCACCAGGAACCAGAGACTGAGGTGCCCGCTGCCCAGACCCTGGTCCGGCGTTGCCGCCTCGCCTGGATCCATGCTCGGGCAGCCATCCAGCGAGCCAACACGGAGTACGCTCGCCAGCACAGACGCCGCCACCGGACGGGGCCGGTTTTCCAACCTGGCGACAGGGTATGGGTGTCTACCCGGAACATGCGCCTGCCCGCTGGCTCCCGGAAACTCGCTGCACGGTTTGTGGGACCCTACCCGGTGGAGAGGGTCATTAACATGGTGGCTTACCGCATCCGCCTGCCCAGGCCTCTCAGAGTTCATCCCGTCTTCCATGTGTCCCAGTTGAGGCCTGTATGGACTTCTCCCCTCGCTCCTCCTCCAAATCCAGAGCCTCCGCCTCGAGGAGTTGGCGAGGATGGGATTTTCGCCGTGCGGCGCCTGCTGGACGCCCGTCGCCGTGGCAGAGGCTGGCAATACCTGGTGGATTGGGCGGGGTTACGGTCCAGAGGAACGTTCCTGGGAGCCGACGAGCGCAATCATGGACCCCTCGCTCATCTCTGATTTCTTGGCCAATCGCCCTGGGACTTCTGGGGCCATCCCTCGGGTGGGGGGTCCTGTCACGCTGCCTTTCTCTCAGCCCTCGACATCCTCCCCTGGAGGAACCCACACTCATTCAGCCCAGTCAAACTCCACTACCCAGCATTCCCAGCGCCAGCCTTCCGGCTCACGTCACCCGCCACGTCTACATAAGGAAGTGCAGCGTAACACCAGATCAATCAGTCCTCGATCCTAACCAGACTATGTTCCAAGTCCTCACCGAATCCTACCGGATTACTCTAACCAGTTCTGACCAGACCAGCCCAAGCTACTCACCCTGCCGACTCGTAGTAAGTCAGCTTGTTTCCTTTTGGAGCCGCCGTGCTCACTAGCCTGTTACGGTTTGGCTCCTAGAGCAAACGCGTGTCTATCTGCCCGGCGTCAGTCACTCTGCGCTTGGGTCATAAACACACGCTACAATCCAAACTCTCGCTCCGGTCCCGCTCAGCTCAAGTCAGGCCTAACACAATGTCATATTAATAATAAATGATTATACCTTGTGTTTTACTACAGCATTGTTAAATCTTCAGATTATTAAGAATGCGTTGTTTCAGCTGTGAGATTAGTCGATGGGATCATTGAAAAAGAACATTTGTCACAGACTCCATGGAAACTTTCAGAGAATCCACAAAAAGTGGCTTTTAATCGGTTTTGTTACTGACATGTTTTTGTGAGTTTAGAAAAGAAGCAGATGAGACGGCGTGTCCGACTATTTTGTTTTTTATCTGATAATATTAGAACATGTCAGTGATGTCTGGGGTGTTTTTACAAACACTGTATAATTAACACTCCTGGACAGGGTATGAATTACACAGAGGCTTCTGGAGGAACCCAGTGATGGGGGGGTGTTCTGTTTTGCCTTGGCCCCCAAAATGCCTTGAAACGGCCCTGGGTGTGTGATTGAATTTTGAAGGTGATCTGAATGGTATCAGATGTATAAATATTACATGTGTATGACTTATTGTTTTATACAGGTAAAAACATGTAGTGAAGATAAATCTACCTACATTTTACTTTCAAACACTTTTTTTGTTTTCTTCTTTTCATTTAACTGTTTTCCTGTCCTGTCTGTCTCTCATCTTCCTGCATCTCCTCTAAACTCTCCAGAAAAACTGCTGCTTGGATTCTTACTTTTTCACCTCATGAGTTACTTTTGAGCAGATCAAAGGGATCTCCTGACCGCAAAGCGGTATCGGTGCATCCCTAGTCAGAGCCAGAGAGATCTGTAATAAATCCAAGGGGAAAGGCGAGAGGCCAAATCCAGAGACGGGCCGGCGTTCGGTACACCAGGTAGACTGAGAGGCAGAGTCACAGACAGGGAGCATACAGGAGGCGAGGTCGAGAAGCAGATCCAAGATCTGTACAACAGGCAGGCTTTTAATCAAAGCAACAGGATCCAAACAGGGGCGAGACATGGTCCCAGGGGTGCGCGCACCACACTTAGGGAATCCCTGATCTAAAGTAATAATATCTAAACCCCTAGGTTTTTATTTTGTAAGCTTAAATGGCAGAGTTACGGCTCTGGATAATGGCTGGAGATGGTGATTCTGCCCTACAGCATAGTGTGCATGTGTGCTATTAAACGGATGAAAACAACAACATTCAAAGGGTCTAGAGCCATTCAAGTTTCTAAAATCTCCTCCTCCTCTCCTTGATGATGTCACAATATGGACCAGGGGCCTCATTTTTAAAGCTTACTTATGCCCAAAATGGGGTCAAAAAACTGCAACTTTCCATGCAAACTTTGGGATTTATAAAAGAAGACGTAGAGGGAAAATGTGTGCAACTTTAAGTTGACTAAGGACCTTGCTTTCGCACATTTTGGACATGGAGAGCACCTGCAGTGCTGCTGTAGCCTGGCAAGCCAGGCTAAATAAATGTATTATTGCAAAGCAAGCATTTGGTCTAGTTCACTAGGCTAGTGTTGCTGCTGAGAAGGATACAATTATGAATTCCAGCAGCAGTAACACTTGTACCGCTTCATGCACACACAGAACAAGAACCCAGACCACACACCACTCCTGGACCTGTACCATCAAAGCTCTGATAAAGAAGGTTCAGCAGTGGCTACACTTCCTGCATGTCCTCAAGATGGACAATCTGGAGCTGATGCTTTTGCTGGGCTTCTACACTCCTCTGAGGAGAATATGCTCACATATGCAGGTTCCATAGCTGAGGACAGGAAGTCGGTGCAGTATCAAACACTGCTCAGAAAGTCATTGACTACCTTCCACTCAACCCTGGAGCATATCTCCATGTCCTACAGAACCGTGGCTAACACTGTGACCCCCCACACCACATACCCTCTGTCTGACCTGCTCACCTTAGGGAAGCTCTACAGGTCAATCCCAGGGGCGGAGCTTGATATGTGCAACATGTGCGGCCGAACAGGGCGGCAGTCTGGAGGGGGCGGCATTTAATTTCCTTTTCTTTTTTTTTTTTAGCATCAACCAATACATAAACAAAACATAGAAATCGCATGTTCTTCATAATAATAATAGTGATGAGTGATGATAATAAGAATATTTCTGTAATAAAAGCACAACAAGGTCATTGTTTGCATTTATATTGTGATTTTATTGAGCGCCCTTGTGTCCGCCATGCCCCTGTGGATGCAGGGTGGGATAGTGCGCTCTATAGCGCCCTTCATCAGGTGGGGGTGGAGGGATCTCGGAGAATGACGATGGAGGGATACAGGTACCGTTTCACATATCACCACTCACAAACATAACGGAGAAGAAATGGTCGAAGCCATCTGGTGCCCAATTTAGAAAAAAAAAGAAGATAAGAGGAGGAGAAACGAGGAAAAGATGCAGGTATGAGTGTCTTTATTATTTAGTTGGTATTTTTCCCACCTATCCCCCACCTTATTGATTAACTAACCTAACTTATATATATATATATATATATATATATATATATATATATATATATATATATATATATGTATATATGTATATATATATATGTATATATGTATGTATATATATATATATATATATATATATATATATATATATACATATATACATATATACATATATATATATATATACATATATATATATATATATATATATATATATATATATGTATATATGTATGTATATATATATATATATATATATATATATATATATATATATATATGTATATATGTGTGTGTGTGTATATATATATATATATATATATATATATATATGTATATATGTATATATGTATGTATGTATGTGTATATATATATATATATATATATATATATATATATATATATATATATATAGCCATGCCGTGATGTGGGGGCTGCGGGGTGCGTCGACATGGTTGGGACATAGAAGGGGGTGCGTGGCTAAATAAGTTTGGGAACCGCTGCTTTAGATCATCTAAATAATTTTTGTACAGATGCAAAAAAGTTACATCTCAGAGCTAAGGTGAGTAGCATCAAGCTTCCAGATCGGTTTGCAGTAATTAACGGGCTATGCTAAATAACCAGTTCAGTGTGGGGATATCTACTTTATTTGATTAACACGCCTGGACTTTACACAGCTGAAACAATGAAGGCATAACCGGATCTATTATATGTTGAGCGGGTTAACTCCGTGACACTGTTTGTCGTTGGAGATAAACAGAGTCTCTGTTTATTTTGACAAGCAACTTAAACAGAAACACAAACAAACAACATTAGAAGGAGCCTGCAACAATTACACAACACATAACAGGACCATTATCGTGGGTCACTCACAGAACTACACACCACACTATCATTGTCATTTTCACACACGATTATTTCTCAGAACTAATCACCTCATCTCGCTTCTGCCTTCTCTCCCAGCCCCCCCCCCCCCCCCCCCCCCCCCTGCATCCATATTAAAATCGTATAAGTCATTAGATGGCTATAAATTTTTCGTGTGTGGAGATGTGGGGCAAATACTTGACCTTTTTACTCTTTCTTGAGACTGGCTGCTACGATGTGGGTGGATCATCCACTTGAATTTCTCTTCATCACTTTTAACCATTGCCTTTGGCCAATTTTATCAACTTTAAACCTGTAAAATTTTACATTACTCTATCTTTTGTCTATCTGTGCAGCCTGCAGCACTGCATGTGTTAACCATGCTGATTTTATTTAGCCAATATTTAGCTAAGAACTGACAAAAACGGTGGTCAACCAGAGTGTGCTGTCAAAACAGAGCAGGAACATCAAATTGAAGCATTTTTTAGCATTACTTTAAAACTTTATTTAGCTATCCCTTCTTTTACACCTCTGCATGTTTTGGACCAGCTACCTGCTGCTCTTATAGTGGAGCTCATGCTGACATTGAACCTCTGAACTCTATAGAAGTAAAAAGTATAGGCCTACTTTTCCACTGATGATTTTTGAGAATGTACATTTTTTCAAATATCTTTTTCTGTTTTGTGCTGGAACCTGTTGTGTTCGTCTGCACTTGAGGCAGGATTTAAAGAATGTTTACATCCTTGGGAAAACCAGGTTATTTTATTATGCCCTGATACGGAAGACGCTACAATAGAAAAAATGTTAGACTTTCTCTGTCTTTACATAAAGAGGAAAAATAATTTGTTTCTTGGCCCTGGAGCATAACGTTTATTACCGTATTTTCCAGACTATAAGCCACTACTTTTTTCCCACACTTTGAACCATGCGGCTTATAATGAGGTGTGACTTCACTGTAGATTTTCCTTCACCCGCCAGGGGTTGCTTTAGCAGAAAGTGAAACAGGTGGGATTCAAAGTTGGAAATCAAAGAAAGTGCTCATTTTAATTTAGCACATGCAAGCGGCAGGCACGACGAAGAATTGTTTTCAAGCCCATAAACCCTCATCATGGAAACTACATGAAGGAGTTCATATGATGTTGCATTTAAGTTGAAGGCCATCGATCTGGCTGTAAAGGAGGGAAACAGAGCTGCCGCACGTAAGCTTGGCGTGAATGAATCCATGGTTCGGCATTGGAGCTGGCAGCGGGAGGACCTCATTCAATGCCAAAAAACTAGAAAGGCTTTCAGAGGACAGAAAAGCAAGTGGCCTGAACTTGAAAATATTCTTGAGGACTGGGTTAACACTCAGAGAGCAGGTGGCTGAGGTGTGTCCACCGTGCAAATCCGGCTTAAAGCTAAATCATTTGCACGCGAAATGAATTTAGATAATTTCAACGGAGGACCATCCTGGTGTTTTAGATTCATGAGAAGAAAGAACTTGTCCATCAGGGAGCGGAAAACTCTCTGTCAGCAACTCCCCCCGGACTACAAGAAAAAACTTGCAAGTTTCCAAAAATGTGTTCAAACAAAGATCGCGGAGAACGCCATAGGACCAGATGACATTATAAATATGGATGAGTTGCCACTGACATTTGATCTGCCTCTGACCAAAACGATAAAAAAGACAGGTGCATCATCCATTATGGTGAAAACCACTGCGCATGAGAGGGCACATTTCACCTGTGTCCTGGGCTGCACCGCATCTGGAAAGAAGCTTCCTCCAATGGTCATTTTTAAGCGCAAAACTATGCCGAAATACCAACTCCCGAAGCATATTGGTGTTAAAGTTAACCAGAAAGGTTGTATGCTAGAAAGTCTAATGAAGGAATGGTTAAAGGAGTGCTACGGAAAGTGCCCAGAAGGATTTTGGGGGGTTGGGGTGCGGCTTTTAGCCCGGTGCAGCTGATATAAGTACAGTTCCATATATATATATTTTAAAACTTAGTAGGTGTGTCTTATATTGAGGTGCACTCTATAGTCCGGAAAATACGGTAGTTAACCATTCCCAACCTAACAGCTTTATAAGCACAACACAAGGACCCCTGCTTGAGGGAGTTACCATCTGTCAGTAAACACATCATCACAAAAACCCATCATACAGACTTAACTCAAATAAGCTACTGTGTTTTTCCGTTTACTTTGGGTTCTTTAATTGCAGAGGAAATGGACAAATGTAATTATGGGTTAGGGTTGTTGGGGTATCCAGTACCACGTCTCTGCTTACACTGATGAGAAGTGTGGGTAATGTGAGTGGAAAGCAAACCCGAGTGAGATGACACTTACTGCATAGGATAGCTCCTTCAGTGGCTGGCCGTTGATGGCCAACAGAACGTCTCCCTCTTGGATTTTGCCACTCTGCTCTGCTGGCTGTCCAGGAAAAAGATGCTTTATCCAGACCAGGCTTGTAAATTCCTTTGTGGGAGGGTCCAGTTCACACATCAGGAAGCTAAATCCCAGACCACTGGTGTTCTTGGTCAGTGTCACCTCCTGGACGTTTTCTTGTACAGGGGATAGACAAAAAAAAAGATAGAAAATTTGTTTATATTTTTGTTGTTTCTTTTAGGGTTTGATGAAAACATGTTGATTGAATAAAATAAGAAAACTAAAATATAATCCGATAAACAACTTTAACAACTTTATCACCCACTAATGGCCAAGAGAATGATTACACCCTCATTGTCGATAAGTAAACTCCCTAACCTCACCCTGCAGTCCTTATGCAGTCCTTAGTCCATGTTTCCAATTTAATTTCATTGAACTGTTCCTGATCATTTGTAAACTTTTTGTTGCTTAGTTACTTCAGCATCCTTTCTGTGTAAACTCAACAATCTCATCTAAGGATAGATAACAAAAATGTCTATAAACATGCAGGAAAGGCCTTTGCAGTTCATTTTATTTAAAATAGATTTTCCTCCCCTGACTTGTTAAGAAAATCAACCTTTAAAAGGAGTCAAATGTGATCAGCCTGTGATATTTTCAAAGCACTAGATGCAGGAAGATGGAAATAGACAGATCAAGAGGAAGTCCAAGGGTGGGGGTTGTGTGAAAGTTCACCTTCAGGCCATCAGAGAAGTATTGCCTCTTAAGCTTGATTTATGCATCTCTGTCTGCGTGCGTACAGAATCACGAAATGCCATTATGCATTGACGCAAGGGCGCCAACGCAGGCCCGCAGGGGTTGAAATGCCCAAATTTGTACCTAATTATTTATCAAAAGTGACGAAGACGGCAAGCCTGTTATTGGTCAGGAAACCACTTTCTCTAAATTTATAAACAGCACCTCCATTCCCCCTCAGAATAATCTAGTGACAGGCAAGGAGCAGATCAAAGAAGGTCTTGTGCAAAATGTTTGACAATAAAAGTTTATACACCCATGACTGAAGAATACAAAGATATACAGCAAACGTTTTATCTATGACAAAAATGATGGGAGGTTTAGAGGTTGCGACTGCTAGACGAGAATAAGGGACAAATGTATTTGTGTTAAAGTGTCTCTTAAATACACAAACTCGAAATGCAAACACACATTAGTAAATAGAACATCTTGGACCGGACACATGGCTGTAATTGTGGTGGGATACCCCCAGAAAAACGTTACGCCCTCTGCTGTCCTGACGGGATTTCCTTTGCAACACTCCCCAGGCAATAGAGACGTTCAAAGGGAAAGCATCTTCATCAATGCATGTGTGCATCTCCAAACCCAAGCCGAAGGAGAAGTATAAATCAGGCTTTAGACGGCTATAGAGGAAGATCAAGGCCGTTGTTATGTCATACCATCAGAGACAAAGCTGTAGTCTCTGGGATGGTCAGGTGATGAGTTTAGAGGCATGCTGATGGACGAGCAGCTGTTGTGTCTCTGGTTGCTGCTGGTTCGACTGAGGCTTTGATTGGATGCACAACTACTGTTGTCAGTGCTGACGGAAACTTTGGGTAAGTTGGTTGGCTCCCGCTCAACTACGAAGCAGACCACCTGGGCAGCAGGAACAGAGCATAACACAATGAGATAGTGGGAGAAGAACAGGATGGGTTTTCCAATGGAAACAGTAAAACTCACTCATATCTTTCTGTGTGTCATCTTATTTTTGTGCGTTTATCACCACATTTAGGAAAAAATGGTTCATTTAAAGTTCATTTAAAGGGAACATATCATGCAAAGTCACTCTTTGTATCATTTTGTGCTGCCATATGGATTTCTACTGCCACTGTAAACACTTCAAACATGATCTAAAACTTTTCCATCCATTTTCTGTAAGTGACTGTTTTCAGGAATTGTATGCCTAAAACAGTTTCAAAAAATCCCCAATTGTGATGTCACAAACAGGGAAATTTGCTCAGAGCCACCCTCTCACCCTATTTGTGTAAACTGGAGGAGCAGCAGCTCTACTCTGAGCAACTCCGGGCTTCTCAGCTTTTTGCAGCCAAAGCTGGGGTGGGTATGGCCAGCTCCAGCATGTATTTTTAAAGCAGGGGTATTCAATTACAGTCCTAGAGGGCTGGTATACATCACATTTTAGTGGTTTCTCTGCTCCAACACACTTGATTTAGTGGTTGAATCATCTGTCCAGCAGCTCATCATACTCTTCAGAAGCCTGTTAATTACTGCAAATTGAAATCTGGTGTGTTTAGACTAGTTAAAACTAAAACATGCTGGATAGCGGCCCTCCAGGCCCAGAATTGAATATCCCTGTCTAAAAGTTTTCATAGCATGCTATTTTAAAAGGTAGGCACAGTGTATGATAAATTATCACCATTGGCACCATTGAGATGTCATTTCTCTTAAATGTAAGTGATTTTCGAATGCCTAAATTTATACCCAGAAATACAACTCTTTGTTTCGTTGAAACTCCACCCACACCCGTTCCAACAAAACATGCCTACAACAGCATCTTAGGCAAGTCAGCAACTGTATTGTCTATGATATGCCAGTGGTAAAGGTGTCTGCCTGCTGCCTCAGTTTTACAATGTGCTCACCGGGGTTCGAATACCATTGGTGTTCTTCAGTAATTTATGTAGCCAGCTGAAGCAGATTTCATGTTTTTATATTTGAGTTTTATAGATTATTTTCTGCATAATATTTTGTGTCTCTAAACATCTTTGAATTTGATCATTTTCAAGCATCGTTTTAGTTGATTTACTCTGCTCACCTCACATGGACTCACACTGGCTAAATAATCAAAGAAAGCAAAAAAATAAAACAAATTACTCCTTATATTTTAATCAGTTTACCAATGAAGGATTAAAAACATCATACTGGCAAGTGCAGCTAAAAAAGAAGAAAGAAATTACTGCTGAGTTACTGCATGCCAGTCTATCACACGTACCACTAGAGTACCAAGTCTTTACATGGCACTTGTTTCCTAAGCTGGCCAGGGGAAACAGGTTTCAGACCAGAGGTTAGCACTGCCTGATGTTGGGAGCAGGAAGGTGGAGTGACATACAATTTATATATCAGGCTGTTTCAGGAATTTCAAAATAAAATAAAAAATTTGCAGCTGAAATAGGGAAATGTATGAATGCAGCCAAAAATGGGTTTGGGGTATTTTTCACGAGGAAACAACAACATTACATGCTAAAAAGTCCTATTGAGAAAGCAACCTGTAACCAGCTCTACTATGATACAACAGGAAATTGAAATTCTCATCAAAAGCACCAGGTTTTATCCTCTGGGAACAAACAAGTTGGCATCACCAACAATAAGTCCAAATCATTACCTTATCCAACAGCATACTGCCAGCTGGACACATTGGCCACCTTACCTCCCCAGTTTTACTCAAACACTCCACAGCCTGCTGGTAGGTGAAGCCACTGAAGCTAATCCCATCAATTTCTAGAATTCTGTCACCTGTAATATTAAAACAAACCAACAAGTACAGTTAGCACAAAAAATAGCAAGTAAACTTCAGTTTAGCTGATTATTTCTTTGTTATAAAAATATTTCTTGGCATAAACATAGTAAATGATAATTATATTGTTAGACAGCCTGTTAAGCCTATTGAGCCCATGAAAAAAAAACACTTTGCCAGATAGCCTTTAATTTATTGAGCTCCTATTTGGTGTTTATGGGATGGGATAATTTACAGTAATTTAATCACTTGTTTTAAGATCATTCCATTTTAATATAATTGTAAGAAGCAAATGAGCAAAAACAGCAACTGGCATCCCCATTTAGGAAGTCACGGAGGTACGACACAGTGGCGCAGGTCAGTGATGCAATACTCTCATTTCTGTAGTTAGTTGCACACTTGTTTACTGCACACTCAAAGCCTGACATGCTCTTTCTCCAAGAGCACTTTACAGAGGAACATAGACAGCAGTGTGGGTATTGGGACTTGGGATGTTTCTCAATGTGAAGGAACCTCACCTTGATGCCTTGGTCCCATCCTGGTTGCCTAGGAGATACATCATCACGAACCGCCAAGCATGTTCCAATGTTCATGTGCTACTCAGGCGTCTGTTCTCCATTTGTTAGCCATTTAGCTAGCTGACCAAAGATCCATAGGAGTTGTCTTGTAGGCTAGCCTTAGTCAAAATTTTTCACAGAATACACCACGGTATTTTCAAAAGGATGGCGGATCAGGAGCCAGCAGCCACTTCAGGGCAATTTTCCAGTTTAATTTTAAGTCAACTAATTGTAGCTATCGGGCTGAAATCTGAAATGTTTTTTAGCTTCAAAGCAGTTTTTTTTCAACGATGAGAACGGGAGAAGGGGCTCCCAGATGCCCCTCTGGGACAGACCCAGCTGGTCATATCATGGACTCCTAGAAACAGTGGAACCTGATTTGCCTATCTCAACTGTCTGTGGAGGATTCTGAAGACATCTGGATATTTGTGGTGTTGGTTCAGGTTTCCTGCTCTTTGGCCAAGGAGGCTTGCTGGCTAAATTAATGAGCTGTCGAGGAATATTGGCGCTCTCCCCGAGCTCAGGGATGGATTACACCGCGCTGTGAATTCACAGACTCACATAATTGTCGAGATGAATCAAAAGCTTGGAACTTTGGCTGAGATTCATGCGTTGGCACAAAAGATGGATGCGATCAAGAAGCGAGTGGATGAATCTGCACAGATTGGGATAGATTAATTTATGCCTTTATTAGGATTTTGAGAGGTTGAGGACCAACAGAACTTTAAGACAGAGAGGAAATTATCTCTGTCTGGCCCCAAAACAATTTATAATCTGAATCTGGTGCCCTTGAGCCTGTAAGGCTGCAACGAATACTGCCCCCTCAGAAGAAATGTGGAATGCTGCCGTGGCTATGACAACTCTGTCTCCTATTCCAGCCTGGGCGGGACTGCGGGCTGTGAAGGCCGCCGAATCGTTCCAGCAGTCACTGTGCCCTCCAAAACTCAACAACCTCCTTCCCCTGTCCAGACTGAGGTGATGTGCACTGCTTATCGTGGCTGCAGGAACTGACGTGTGGAGAGTCCCAAACCCACCACCCCACCTAGTGGACACTTATGTTGTGTGATGTCTGAAGTCTGTTGCAACTCTGTCTGAAGTGTTTTCTTGCAGAGCAAAGCTGCCATTCCTGTGGAGGGTAACTCTGAAGTGCCTTTTTTTACCTCCATGTAACCCTCTGATCTCTATTAAGGTAGCGCGACTCAGGGTTGCGAATGACCACAGTTACCAATTCTTGTCATGTGTCTTTGCCTATGTATGTCTGATCTCTGAATTGTGTGTACTGAAACTCTAATTTCGCTCTGGCATTAATAAAGCATATTTGAATTGAACTGAATTGAGTTAGCTATGGATGTTTAGTTGCTTTAGTTGCAGAATTGGTGGCTAGCAGGTAGTAACTCGCTTACCTATTTAATTTAACCAATAATACACAATTTAAAAAGTAAAAGGCGCGTTACACATTTATTTTGAAACTTAAATGTATAAAAAAATGACTCTACCTCATGAGACCACCGCGGTCACGTGAGGTAAGTCTGTTCCATTTAACCGTTTTCTTTGACCAAGGAAGGACAGTGTCATTGTAAGTAAGGCACCTGGCCAAGCAAGACATCGCCTTGCGAGGCCAGGCGTCTTGACATTGACAAACACCAATGGTCTCATACCTTTATGTAAATGTCCATCTCGCTCAGCAGCTCCTCCTGGAACAAGGCTGGTGATGAAGGTTCCTCCACCGGGTAAGTTGGTGTCTACACCACCCTGAACAACAAAACACTCTACTCACAATCAAAATATAGTCATACTATTGGACACAGTTTCAGATCCTGAGGGTAGATTTATAATGTTAAAAATATCAATACAGAACCAAAGCTTATGTATCGTCAGCATATACTGTCCAAATATTGATGACTCATCATTCTCATTTTCTCTGTACTCTCTTGGACTGTCCACTTATACTTGGTGGTGATTTTAATTTTTGGATGGATACTTTAACAGACAGGGTCAGTACAGCTGGGACTCAGCACAATTGGCAATCCACTAATATGGTTAAACAGTACGAGTGATTATGGGCTTTGTGATGCAAGGCCATCTCTTCATCCTAACCGTAGAGAGTTACTTTTTTTCTAACACATCCATCACTCTCATTCACGTTAGGATTATTTTCTAGTCAGCAGCTCATTGTTGGCTGACATTTCAATTTAATTCAATTCAATTCAAAAGACGCTTAGGTCCTTCAATGTCTGTAGGAAGAGGCTTCAGATCTACAAGTCTGTTGTCAGGACAAACAACCAACTACCAGCTAGCTTCTGTCTTTGGAGGGGGACCAGGCAGGGATGCCCACTCTCCCCCTCACTGTTTGCTATCTTTATTGAACCACTAGCAGCAGCAATCAGGCAAACAACAGGTATTAAAGGCATTAAATGTAAGAAAATAGAACATAAGATCAGTCTTTATGCAGATGATGTTTTACTTTTTATCCGGAATTCTTAATCCTCTCTCTCCCAAGCAATAGAACTGATAAACTGTTGTAACGTCACAAAATGGCCTGATTTTGAGACCCACAGGTCAAGTCCACAGCCAGGTCATTTTGCCCTGGCTATGACACAACCTACATTATTTTCCCTCACAGGAGACTGAAAGTCTGAATGTAGTCCCATTAAATCAGAGCCTGCCTTCCTCACACCAGCTGGAGTCAGAGCATGACAGAGATCATAAAAGATCAACAATAACATTCTCTCCTCCAAGGTCCATTACAGAGGAACTCATGAAATAAACTCCTGGATTCACAGAAGATCAGAAGAAAAGAAGATTTTTACAATTAAAGATAATCATTAAATAAACATTTGTTTATTGCTACTTAAAGTAATTATAAAACAATGAAATGTTCATTAATCTGTGCTTAATGATATATGCTTAGCATGTTTACTGGACAAAGTCATCACCATTTGCACTCACACAAGGACAAGTAAAGTTAAGTTAACGCATGACACATAGTTAACCTTTTGCCCAGATTAAGAGTCTCCAGATCAAAGAGGGTGTGTTTCTGAGATTCTTGGTAATATCCTCAAACTTGTCAACTTTTGGTTGGCTACAAAACCATAATATCAATTCCTTAACACCAAATCACTCTGGTCTTCCCTGCAGTTCGAGAGCAAGCTTCAGACCGGCCATCTTTAGCAAACCTCTTTAACCATTAAAGATTTTGACACGTCGTCAAAACCTTTTTAAACCTTTTTCACACCCGCAAAGTTGATACAACAAACAGTTCCTGCAGAACAAAGCTGATACTGTTTAGTCTCCTTAAGAGTCCCAGATGCTCGGTTCCATCCGTCTGTGCTACCCGAGACAACTCTGGACTGGAGAAGTCGGTGCTTGCGGTCAATCTACCGGGCCTGGGTGCCCCGAGGTCATCCGACCTCTGACCTCCGGATCCGTGATGAGGGTCATCAACGGGTGAGGTAGAACACAGTGAGATTGCGTCTGAATGTGGTGTTGCTAATAATCTATTTACATAGCTTGACTCAAACCAAATTCTTTTTCATCCAGAACTCAGCTCTGAGAAATGGAGATTCTGACTGTATTATATTCACACATAGGATCCAGACACCATCCTTTAGTTTGCATCCACTCACAGTAAATAATAGTTCAAACAATTTGTCAAGTCTTAATTGTTTGTAAAATAAATTCTTATTTTTATAAACCTGACTGTTTCTTGAATCAAGATGAAGTGTGTACAATCTCTTAATGAATAAAAGAATCCTATATTGTTCTGACTAAAACAAATAAAGACCAGGCAATGTGATATTCTATATTTAAATAGAGTATCAGAGCTTATTGGTCACAAGTCGTGTTAATAATATAACTAACTCTTAAAGCAATTTACATAACCCAATATACTATTTATTAACATTACATATTGGTGAACAAGACAGATTTAGTTAGAATCGTATACTTTGTGTTGGTCCCTGAATCATTAATTAATTCCAAAATCTATTTTCTGTGTCTGGGTGAAAAACGAGGGCAATCTCTTTATTTGCCACCAAGGGGTGCTGCTCTCCCTTGTCATTCAAAGTCTATATGTCTCCATTTGAAAGTTTCATTTGAGCTAAGCTGCAGGTAATTAACTATTTGTTGAGATTTTAAGATGAATACATTTATGTGTATGAGTCTGTGACATTGTTTGAGTGATTCTGCTACATTTATCTGTGTGGTTTTGTCACTGTTGAAAAGCTTGTGTTAACATGGACAGTAAATTCTAATCCACTTAGCACTGAAGCTACCTCTGATTTAGCACCAGAGCTAATCAGTTTAACCGGGGTCTGACCAACCGAGGTTAGTCAGCTGGATATCCGCCGTGATAATGGACGTTTTCCGACGAGAATTCCGGACATTAATTCTGTTTTTCAATCAGAATTAAACCCAGGGACGCCTGAGGCTAAATATTAACAAGCCAGAAATTAGTGCTATTACCCTTGGGCCCTCCCCGGCTAACATGTCGGTCTTAGGCCGTAGAACAGAGGAGCGAAGCGATGAGTGCATGCCGCAATTATACGCTATTCCGACATATTAGAGCAAGAACCTGAACGGTGTTCCCCCAGTCGAGGTGGCTGATTCCCTTGTGAATCATGCCAAACGAGTCACTTCACAAAAGACGGTCTAAGCCAGCCTCTGAAGTTAAGGGTAACAGGGCTGACAACGCTACCGGACACCAATCCGATGGTGCTGTCAACCGCTCTCAGCAGCATTTGCCTTAGTCATAACTCACTACTCTATACAAAACATGTTTTAGTAGTTTTGAGTGTATATTTTGACTTTATTGTGAGAGAGCGATCTCCACTGAGCCCGTCCACCATTTTGAACGACGGCACTGTGCGTAATGGAGTGACGTCACAGACTGACTCACACTACTAGGTTGACGCAGTAATAGTTTGCTCTTGTTGTATTGTCGCGTGTCCTTTCTTTTGTTGTTCTTTGTAATTCTCTTTCTGCAGGTCTAGAAGACTCTTGTTCATCATTAATTGTTTATTTTTGTGGGCCTCCCCTTCCTTTTGTCTCTTCCTTTCTCTTTCACCTCTGTCTCCGTGTCTGGAAGGAATTATAAAGCATTCAAAAAACAATAACAATAAGTTTTAAGTATCAGGCGTGACATTGAAGCAGAAGCTTTGATGCTCCACCTGAGAGTAAATCTGTAAGACTTGTCACCAGCAGTCAGACATTAATTCTGTTTGCTTCACAGCCAGACATGACACGGGAAAAAAATAAATAAATAAAATAAAAAATAAAAAAATGTATAAATGTAATGAACAAAATGTTTCTTGTTAATAAAATGTTTTACTAAGTACACCTAAATACTTCTTTCACCAACTTGCGATAACGTTTTTGCCTGTGTGTTTTGTTATGTGTTAATTTTGCTTTTAGAGTGAGCAGGAAACCTGATTTTACTGAAATTAGAAAAAAGCAATCATGTGATCTGAAACTTTTAGAGTCAACCAAATTCAAGATGGCTGCCACAGCTAACTTGCAATAGCAAACATGAAAGTGGCTATAACGTAGCCAGTTTGAGCTAAAATGTAGCTTGTTACCAGATGAGAGTCATCATCATCATCATCATCATAGTCTGAGCTCTGGTCTAATCTCATGAAACATTTTCCCTAAGTTATTAGAGTAAACTTGATTTAAGCACAGCGAATCCTCCTCAGCAACCACTAAAAGATTTTAATGACTGGCACAGTGCTCAATATTAGCTTATATTGTAGTAGTCTGGGCTGAGAGGTGGCTCGCACTAGTGTTAGGCCTTTGATTTGTACAAATGTCATGAAATAATAACAAACTTTTTGGTGCTTTGGTATTCCTAGAAGGAGAATAACTACAATATGAACCACTGTTAATGGCTGCTGAACAGAGAAATTGCTTTATGTTCTTCAGGACTGATAAGTTAACAGTAATTTGAACACAGTCAAGACCAAACTGTAATGCTGCCATACCAAAGATTCTCCTTATGTGAATATATTCTTCTCTCTAGTCTGTTGGATGTAAGGGCTATTTCTTTAATCAAAGGCCGACGTAATAGTTATTTTTATCTATTTTTTTTTTTACTTTTACACAGAAACTGTTAAATCTTGCAACTTTGGACCAAAATAATAAAAAAGAAACTTGCTGAGATGCTGATGCCCAGATTTCCAGATATCTTCCTGAGCTTCATGGTGATCTCCTCCAGCCTCACACAGTTCAGAGATGGAGACTGAGGGCAACCATCCTGAGGCCAATACAGACATAAATACTCAGTAATGTCCAAACCTCGTGTTAGTCCAATATAATGTAAGCACGAAAGGTCATTTCACCTAATTTATTTAATGAATAGAACACAATAATGGCTAAAGTAAAAGGTAACAGAGATGATTCAGGTTTACAAATCAACACAATCAGGCACTACCTGTGATCCAGGAACTCGTCCTTCACGTGGGACGTGCAGCCTGTTGCTGGGCTTTGGCGTCATCATGACTGAGATGATCTCATCAAGGCTGTCATCTCCTGATCGTCCATCTGACATTAGAGTCTTTTGGGAACCATATTTCCTCAACACAGGAGAGCGTATGCTGTTAGGACTAACAGATACTGTAAAAAAAATCAATAAACAAAGCATTTAATTATTCCTCTCAGTATTGGACGTACTAGGAAATATTCTAATCCGTATAAAGCTTAAGGCCATGGACAATGTGGTTTAGAAAAAAACTTTCTAAGCCAAAGAGCTTAGCCATGACTATATAACACACAAAAACCCACAGCACCTTTTGGCTGTGAGACGATGAGCTGCACCTCCTCAGGGATGTTCTGCATGACCTCAGCTGCCTCGTTGAATGTGACGCCCTCCAGGCTAATGTGATTCAGGGAAATCAGGCGACCACCTGAAGTCAAAGGTCAAATTGAAAGACTTTTGTGTCCAGTCACAATGCAATTAGGACCAAAATAATATTTCTGTCCTTTACACATTTCCTTAAAAATGCTGCTGTCTACCTGTTCTTATGCGTCCATCCCTATCAGCAGGCCCACCAGGAACAATGGTAGCAATAAAGACGCCCAAGTCATACCGTCCTACTGCATCCTCTCCGACAATCACTATACCTTTGACATCAAAAACATTTCAGCAATTGCTTTAAAAAGACGATTGATAAAATAAACGTGTCTTGATCGAGCTTTTCTATGTTACTTCTATTATCTGGGACTTCAATGATTTTAATTCTTCTATTGTAGATGTTTTTTGTAAACTTACTAAGCCATACATTCAAACAAATGGCTGTTATAGTGTCCTATACCCACTAGGAAAATCTGATCATTCCCTTATGTTTCACAAAAACACAACACAGATGTGTAGACGACACACTATGATGACAATAAAGTTATTAAAGAACATCGATCCATGCAAAAATATAGGGGATCCGAGCGCAGGAAGACATTTTATAAAATACAGATATTTCATCTCATTAAAGCTACAATGGTTAATTTGAAAAGATTAAAATACACCAAAACAATTAATGAAGTGGTTCTCTCCCATTTGTCTAAAACCTCCACCAATTACAGGGCTTGGACTGAGACCAACGATTGGTCCATCTGTCTGTCACACTGAACCACCACACTTCCCTGGTTGCTTCTCCACTCATTACGCGTTCGCATATTTAGCAACAGAACACCACTGGTGTTAGAAGTTCTCCACTCAATAATAACAGAGAAGGAGAAACAACCGGCTGCTACCACTTCAACTTTTGGACAAACTACCAGAGTCCCAAAAAGACAACGGACAACAAAAGATGTTTGGACCTAGAGAACAGTGAGTTGTGTTAGTGCTCTCTCATTTCCTGTGGTGATGCTGGTCTTAATTAACGGATGCATCCCACTACTCTGGAATTTATTTATTATCATTGTTATTAAATTGAAGTTGGACAATTGACTTGATCATGACTTGAAAATTCAAAGTTAAGGACTTGGATTTGACTTGGACTTTCACATCATTGACTTTGGACTCGACTTGGACTTGATTATCTTTGACTTGGACTTGACTCGAGACCTGACTGAAAATACTTGTGACTTACTTATAACTTGCAAAGCAGTGACTTGGTCACACCTCTGCTGGCTGGTCACTTAACGTGTCAGCAGTGAACCAACACCCAACGGCTGGAAAATGTTTTCAGCTACCACCTGTAAACACTAGATATGCTGTGTTCCAGATTCAACCTTTGATAAAGTCTGTTTTAAAGAACAGGGGTTGCTTGTGAATGTTGGTCATTGATATTAAAAGTGAACAAGGGATACACAACCACAAAGGCGACTCTAAGCAGTGTTCTGACAAGCTGTAACTGCATAACTGTCCTGTTAAAGGCAGACTAAGACAAGAGACAGGAAGTGTATGCTTCACTACAAATTTAAAACTTCCTATTGTATTTGAAGTGAGGTTTGATCATCCTAAAATAATGACAGTACAAGTTAAACTATTTCAGACATTTTAGTCATAACCATTACTATATGTTTCATTGGTTCTGGGTCTTCCTGAGCCTATGTCCAGCTTTTCCTTTTTATACAGTAAACTGGTGCTATACACTGTTGCGGCACAACCAGGAGAAACCCTTGATGTCAATAGTAAAGATTGGGATCTGAGTGTTGCCATTTTAATGTGCTACCCATATTGCTTTTGAAATGTTGGTTTGTAGCGTGACATAGTCATTTGGAGGTTTTGAAATATGAACAGCTACATCTCTTGCCTCTGCTCCCCCTCCCCTTGTGGAAGGAGCTGAAAGCCTTGCCTCTTACCGCTCACGCGCAGGAAAAGCAGAATTTTAGACTAAGATAGAAACAAATGTTTATAACAGCCTTCTTGGTGACAGAGTGATATATTTTTTTAATTACTCTAAATTGAACCATTATATTGTATATTAGGTGAGCATAGAGATCCACAGTTCCATCAGGTGGGGCCCAGCCCCTCTGACCCCTGCTGAAACATCACCAATAGTGTTTCCATTCCAGAAGAAACTTTACCAACTCATCATGAGTTTGGAGACCTTTTAGATCAAGAAGCTGGACTCCATCTTTTAAAAGCATCTCCAGTGTTAATTCTACTTGACTGTAGTAAACGTCTCGTGGAGAGTTGTGAAGAAGGACTTTTGAATTGTTAACATTTTCTTTGAGAAATGGAAGACAGCTGAGGAATCTAACTTTGGTACTTGATTGAGTTGCTCCATTGCAAACCTCCAGCTTCTTCTGGCACCACTTCACAGTGCATGCTGGGACCTGGAGCACTCTCTCCTTGACTGACAGCACACTCTTGTGGGTAAGCAATTCAATTGGTCAATGCTCTAGGTTCGTTTAAATCAATTGTAATTTAAGCATTTTTCGGTTACTTTAAAGATTTTAAACTATGCACCTCAGCTTTACTGGGACAGCCTGATCCGAAACACATGGATGAATTAGTGCATCCCTAATTTCATCTAGTCTTAGGTTTAGAGCAAGTGAGGAGTGTTAGCTTGCGATGCTTCATAAAATATTAAAAACAACTTTTTTAATGGATTATGTGCAACAATCTTTGGTCGTCTTACCAAGGCCAACCTTTGGATCTTTCTTCAAGGAAACACATATGACTTCCCTTTCTGATGATGCCTCCATTTTAGAAGGCGTATCTGTGGGAAACGCAGTGAAAACACAATAAAATACAAGCCAACACAAGCAATGATTAGACTAAATTGTGATGGAGTAAAGCAACATCTAACTATTTTCACAGGTGCACAAGTGATGCTTCATCTGTCATTTTGTATGGATTCTGGTCACTATGTTTGGCTCAGTTTACCTCTGGCTGCTGGAGATCCAGACTGGGCTTCAGATCCACTTTTCTGGGAGCATGCTGGTGAACGCATGCTTGCACTGCTGCGCTGACTGCTCGAGCAGGTGCTATAAAACCCAAACAAACATAAAATATTCTAAAAAAAATACCTGGCCAATGGTGATTTGAGGTTGAAATGGAAGAGGTAGAAACAATTTTTTTTGTCTTAAGATAAAAATTTTGAGGTGCTTCATAAAAAAAAATATTTTAAACAAATGAAAAATTAAAGAGTAAGAAGTTGCCTGGCCTGCTGCATAGCCCTCAAGAGCACTCCTCAAACACACACACACACACACACACACACACACACACACACACACACACACACACACACACACACACACACACACACACATTCAAATACAAACACATAATTGTGAATGGTAAAACAGCAGTTAATAACAAGATGACTACAGCAGGTCTGAGTCTATTCTGTGGTTCTCCACCTGGTTGGAGATACCTGCCTAGTCTACAAATGAAGCTCATTTCAGCTTCATGTTCTTTTAGTCACTGATCCAAATCTAATGACAATAGATGAGGGCCACAATGTGCACAGGCAAATACCGACAGGCCAGAGCAATCCCCCGTTCCTGAAGACAAAGCTCTGATCCATCCATCTGTCTCATGCAAAATCCTACCTTCACTCACTTGTATATAAAGACGTGTAAAAGAAGTCCTTCACTTTTGTATTTTATAAATGTTGCTTAGGCTTCCTGCCCATTTTTCCTCCGTAGCTACAGGAACCAGTGTTGTGATGTAAAATATACCAGAACTTGACTCAATGTGTCCATTACTGTCATTAGTTTTGTGCAAGGATGCTTGTTGGTGCGTTTGGCTAGCCTGCTGCCTTGTGGCATGAAGATTGCATGTTTGACAGTCGGATGGGGCATTTCTGTATTTGTATTATGTAGTATGGTCTAAGGTATGTGTGCCTGTATGGTTGTCGGTGGCCCTGTGATAGGCTGGTGACATTGTCCAGGTGTGACCTATCTTGCCCAGTGATAGATTGAGCACAGCTGTGTTCACTAATGGTGACAGATCACATACCTGTGCTGTTTTACACGGGCCTCAATCCTGGCTGTAACATCTTTATACAGTTTTGTTAAGGGCTCTTCCTGAGGAGTAGTCAAACTACTGTCGTCTTGTGGCGTCTCAGAACGTGAGAGGGACTTGAGCTGGCTGCTCTGAGTGCGGCACACTGCTGCATATTGCACAATGTTGTCCTCTGGAAACAGATTTAGGAAACAGACCCATTCATCCATCTCTTAAGACATTACCGACGAGCATAGTCGCTTGCATTTTTGTCTTCATATTGGATCGAACATCTGCACCTCAAGAGGAACTGACCTGAGACCAGATTGTGGCTGAGTTGGCGGGAGTTCATCTCATTATTAAACTTGTGCTGGGATGAGCAGAGGTTACACAAATACTTGGCTATCTTGGACCTGTCTGTGATGAAGGTGTACTTCTTCTTGCTGCCTCTGCACTCAATTATAAACTTTCGTCTCTGCAAAGTAATGCAGAAAAAACCTTTAGCACATAAAAGTGAAACATATTAGGATGATGTGGCATGACCAAACACTCAGTCACATTTGAGGAGATGGTTGCTGTCTCTCTCCAATAGAAGTTCTGAAACGTGGATCTGCAGCCATCTTTAACTTCATAGACGATGACACCTTTGGCACAAACCCCGAGAATGATTTCTCCATCTAAAGGCTTTTTCTCACGCACCGCACGGTGGAACAAGACGCCATATTCAGGCAACTGCTGACACACCTGCAAGGGAAGAAAATATACCTATCACACAGTAGGTACGATGTTTTGAGTTCAGTCTTTGAATTTAATGCATTTTGATACCTTTAGGAACTCTAGCTCAGATTCATCCGTGAGCATTTGGGCATTATTGGCATGAAGTCGCAGAAGCTCCCCCTGAATCAAAGGTAAGGCACGTTTCTCCATCACACTCTTGGAGACATATTGATCAGGACGGTAGTAGTTCCTACCATAGACCTAGACCCAACAGAATATAACAACAAACTCAATACAACCTAACATGTGAGCACTTCATCATATAATGCAACGCATGTTATGCTGACTCACAAGTGCTTTTATTACATAAGCTCCATTGCCTTTAGGAGGATAGTTAAGATGTTTTGATGTGGGGCTCTATAGGGATATTCTAAGAACTCCTGTTGTAGTTGGCAGTAGAGTAATCCTACAACTGGTTTATGAGGTAATATAATTATGGATATTTTTGACCTGACTCTCCTCTCCCAACAGTTGCCTTGTTTATTTTTTTTTAAACATTTGCAGGGGTCTCTGGCATAAATAATGCCATATCGATCTCTGTGGAAAAAAGCTCTCATGCTCCTTTTTCAGGGAGTAGAAATTAGCAGGAGGATAGGGGAACCAACAAAAGCAGTATTTGTTATCTTACTCATTTTTTTCCTGATATTTAGACATCTCACCTCTGATTGGTGAACAGCGTGGGTTACTACCACTAACTTAGTTTTGTAATGTTGATTATTTATCTCCACAGCTAACACAAACCTGAAAGAGTACTTCCATGTTATGAAGTTGCTGATGGTTAGCTTCTACTAGTCATGCTCTGCTCTCTCCTGCATACTAAACCAACCACAGCCTTCCCCGTCACAAATCAAGACCCAGCCAGCACACATAGGTGGGACCCATATGGAATGTATATGGGCAAGCTGTATGCCCACCAGAGTTTGTCCGTGGTTTCCATGGTGGCCCCACAGGGGTTTGCCCAGAAAGATCTTTGCTCACATAGATTTTAACGGGCACTAAATTGGTTTTCAGAGGGTTTAGAATCTTTGTAAGCAAACTTCTGTGGGGCCACCATGGAAACTGCAGACAAACCCTGGTGGGACCCATACGGCTTGCCCACATATGTTCCATATGGGGCCCACCTATATGCTCTGGCTGGGATGGGTGATTCCATGACTGCTAATTTTCAGTGTGAGGTAGATCTGCGTGGCTTTGTCTGACTCAACCGTTTCCCTGTCTATTTTCTATCAGTGGTTAATGCAGGAAATAGGGGTAGAAGTCTACTTTCATGTTCAGCCTGCATGTGAAACTCAGTAACTGGTCCTATTTAAAAAAGTAAAGAACAGTAAACTTGCTTTTTAAGGATAACCCTGATTACCAAGCGCTTTGGTTTGTGTTGAAAATGGCAGAAGACAAAAACCAAAGACTTGAGTGTAAATTGAAGAGTACTGGGACAATTGTTGTTTATTATTCAAATGTAAGTTTTGATACATTAAAAAACTTACGTTTTGCATTGCAGTTGAAGAATATTTGAAAATATCTTTATTTAATCAATAAAAGTTGAAAGCCATGCATGTTACATATTATCTGGTTGCTCAGTGAGCAAGATAGCAGTGATCAAGAGAAGCATGACTGTTTAAGTTAGTGAGGGGTGATTTAAAGACCAAATAAACTTTTTTTGCTGATAACCTGTATAGATGAGTGTCTAATGGTGCTGTACACATGTGTAATCATTAGTGTGGCACTTTAGTGCAACTTACTTTAAATTTAGTATTTCAGCCCCAAACCATAATTATATCTCCATGTTCAGGTTAAAACTCTGCTCCACATTTATTTAGAATCAGCTGTGGCTGATGGCTAAGCTGATAAATGTGACGTTATCAGCAAATTACTACGTGGCTGCACTGCACTGGTCTCCAGGTGAGGAAGCCGCACCTCCACCTGGCTCAGCCCCTGCCCTGCCAATATGACACATTAACGCCCTGAGCCGCTCGTCTCCTTGATAAAAATGCCCTCCCCCCCTTTTCATCTAATGATCGCGGTTAACAGGAAATCCTTCAGAGTGCTGCATAATCTGTGTTTGCTTTTCTCCTGAGCGGAAAGTCTTGTGTGAGTGCGTGCTTTCGTTAACAACTCGTTTTCAGATTGAGAAGCTCTGACAGCACATGCGGGGGAGTTGAGGGGGGCGCGGTCTAGCAATGCCTCAGTGCCGCTCTCTCGGTCCACCAGGTGAGGCCTCTTTCAGAAGCATTTTTCTAACAGGAAGTGTGGATGAAATACGTCTCCACCCATGCATTGACCCTCACTTTAAATTCCAGTCATTTAGGTATCGATAGAGCAGCTTTGTTAGGAAATTCATCATTATATTTCAAACGTGGTGGGGAAAAAACTGTCAGCTATAAATATAGGTTAAAATTATGTCTATGCCGAATAGCTTAATTGCTGCAAAGATAGTCTTAGCAGATATTCCTACTGTGTGTCGTGTGTCAAGAGTGCTTTGGTCTGCATGGCAGGATATGATGAGCGATCAGATCACAAACCAGGTTTGTTCAACACATTGAATTGTCTTGCTGCTAGTTAATCATGACGTGTAGCCAATCAGAAAGTGAGGTGAAGGAAACATGCTGCATGGAGAAAGAGGAATCATGTTGGTTTACTTGTAAGTCATGTTTGATCTTAGTTTGTGTGTGGTGTCTCATGAGGCCACACCCCAAACAGTAGGACCAAAACTTGACCAAAATATCCACGTAATGTCTCCCATGTTTTGAAAATCTTTGGACCATCTTAAAATCTTGCCTTGTTAACTGGGCTTTGTTTGGAGAGTCGAGGAGAAGTTGTCTTGGTAATCAGGTCAATATATTTTCAGTATTTAAAACACCTCAAACACAAACGTTTTCTACCAAACACCTTGATAAAAGACCTGGGGCCTCATTAGAGCCCTGCATGGGACCATTTATAACCCTTCTCCCACTGAATTTAAAACCCTTACCCCCTGTTCCCACCTCCCCATACATAAGTCAACTAAAAATGAAGTTTAATAATGGTTACTCTGATGAAGACCAAAAAACAGTTGAAACATTAATATATCATTCATACCCATTAAAACTTTTTTCCCTCACTTTGAGTGCTCCAGCCTTACTCCTTACTTTTGAATTCAGATTGTTCACTGGCTGCCAAGCACCCATTACTGAGTGGATGACGTGCAAAAGGTCCTGCTTTTGAAATTAAAGTTCATATGCAGATTTTGCCTTCTCCGGGTCAGGGATGAGGTCCTGCCCCAAGTGGAGGAGTTTAAGTATCTCGGAGTCTTGTTCACGCTTGAAGGAAAGATGGAGAGTGAGATCAGTAGGTGGATTGGTGCTGCATCTGCAGTGATGCGGGCGTTGTACCGGTCTGTCGTGGTGAAAAAAGAGCTGAGCCAGAAAATGAAGCTCTCAATTTACCGGTTGTTCTATGTTCCTAATCTCACTTATGGTCACGAGCTTTGGGTAGTGACTGAAAGAACGAGATAGTGGATACAAGCGGCTGAACTGAGATTTCTCTGCAGGGTGTCTGGGCTCTCCCTTAGAGATAGGGTGAGAAGCTCAGTCATTCAGGAGGGGCTCAGAGTAGATCCTCTGCTCTTCCACATCAACAGGAGCCATTTAAGGTGGCTCGGGCATCTGGTTAGGATGCTTCCCTGGTGAAGTTTTCTGGGCACATCCAACTGGGAGGAGAACCAATGGAAGACCCAGGACACGCTGGAGGGACTATGTCTCTCAGCTGGCCAGGAAACACCTTGGGATTCCCCAGGAGGAGCTGGCCCAAGTGGCTGGGGAGAGGGAAGTCTGGGCCTCTCTGCTGCCCCATCAACTCGACTCCAGGTAAGCAGAAAAAATGGATGGATGGATGGATGGATGGATGGATGGATGCAGTTTACTTAGTCTAGTTGACCATGGCACATCTTCAAGAGATTTGGATGCAGAGGCAGCTTAAAAAGTCAATATGTCGTAAGAAAAATGGCTACTGAATATACTCATAACTTCTCAATATAACTACAACTCGTGGGGAGCAAAGGTCACCTACTTTTTTTAATTTTTTAAATCCATCTCTTGAGAGTCAGTTAACTTTACTTCTGCGTTGAATGTGTATACAACCTCAGGCATGCAGTCTCCATATTCTGTCTGCAGGGCCAAGCCTCCCAGATACACAGCTGTCTCCTCATGGCAGGACAGTCTGTCATCTAGAAGGTCTCTCCTGAGCTGGAGGTAATACTGGTGGCGGGTCTGTTTGTGCCTAATGGAGAGGAAATAGTTAACTCTCTCTGATCATTGCATAAACACTAAACAAGTTGGTTTTGTAAATTAGACTGGATGTAGCATAGACCAACTCATTCCAACTGATTCATTTACACACCCATCATATCTGAACGAGAAACAGCTCGGCTGATTCGTTGAGCTTATTTTGAACATATATGCTAAAGTTTTAATGCATTTCAGAACTCTGAAAGTACAATATTGACAAATTTAAACAGAAGTTACTGGTTTAAAGGAAAGCCTCATTTCTTAGAGAGGAGAGATTAACTCACAAAAGAAGAGAAATGTCATTTACGAAAAATTTGATCCTGAAGAATAGGACCAAAGTGGTTGTAGGCACTTTCTTCCAGCTATCTGGAGCCACTTTGGAAATCTCCGTGTCATTGTCCACGAAGAAAAACTCATTATCTGGTCAGAAAACAGAAAATCTTGTACAGTAGGAAGGGACCAACATATCAGAGCAGATTTGTAGCAAAACACTGAATTACCATCGAGGTAAGCAAGACCAAAGTAGAAATGTTCTACGAGGTTTGAATGGGCTACAATCATGTCAAAAACGTCCCCTCCTCTGGATTTCACGTCACACTTGACCTGGATATTTTGTCCATTTGGCATCACCACACTAATCTCTCTGTGATTGGTTGGAGATTTCCCTTTTTTTGGCTGAAAGAGGCAGAATAAGCAGTGTGTAATGTCCTTGCAAAAACAATACATTTAGTAGGAAATGGCAAAAATAATTTACCAGAATGGATTCAGGTAGCTCCAAAAAAACTAGAGGCTCATCTAAAACTCTAACGAACTCAGGACCCATGTCCTGCAACACAAACAAGGTCAAAGAGAAAAATATATGAAAATCTTTTAGTACAGATGTGAAATTTGTACATCTGTAATAGTTTTGTCATACCTTTATTTTCTTGTCATTCAGACTGGTTGTTGAATCAAACTGTGGGAAGGATCTTGTGCTGGTGTTTCGGCTCCCATCCAGGTACGGACTACTGGGGCTGTGGTTCAGATGTTGCCACGTTGTAAAACTTTCCCTGAGCTGACCCCCAGATGAAATCCTGAGGAAAGATTTTAACCTCAGGCAAGACTGTGAGGTGATGGTTTTGGACAAAATGACTAAATACTGTACAGTATACAGGTAAAAAGTATTTAGTCAGTCTCGTATTGTGCAAGTTCTCCCACTTAGAAAGCTGAGAGACCTGTAATTTTCATCATAGGTTTACCTCAACTCTGAGAGACAAAATGAGAAAAATAAATCCAAAAAACTTATTGAAAAATAAGTATTTGGTCAATAACAACATTCCAATAAAGTACTTTGTAATATACCCTTTCTTTGCAATGACAGAGGTCAAGTGTTTTCTGTAAGTCTTCACAAAGTTTTCAGACACTGTTGCTGGTATTTTGGCCCATTCCTCCATGCAGATCTCCTCTAGAGTAGTGATGTTTTGGGGCTGTCGCTGAGCAACATGGACCGTCCAAAGACTTTCTATGGGGTTGAGCTCTGGAGGCTGCCTAGGCCCCTCCACCTTGAAATGTTTGGGGTCATTGTCATGCTGAAAGATCCAGCTATGTATTACCTTCAATGATCTTGCTGATGGAAGGAGGTTTCCACTCAAAATCTGACCATACATGGCCCCATTCATTCTGTCCTTTACACAGATCAGTCGTCCTGGACCCTCGGCAGAAAAACAGCCCCAAAGCATGCTGTTTCCACCTCCATGCTTTACAGTAGGCATGGTGTTCTTTGGATGCAACTCAGCATTCTTTCTCCTCCAAACACCACGAATACAGTTTTATTTTGATTTCATCTGACTACATGATTTTCTTCCAGTCCTCTTCTGGATCATCCAAAGGTTCTCTAGCAAACTTCAGATGGACCTGCACATGTACTGGCTTAAGCGGGGGGCACGTCTGGCACTGTCTATTTGAGTGCATGGAGCCCCTGATCGAGGAAGATAATCAGTGGTAAATATGTCTTCCACTTTCTAATAATTGCCCCCACAGTTGATTTCTTTGAACCAAGCTGCTTATCTAACGCAGATTCAGTCTTCCCAGCCTGGTGCACGGCTACAATTTTGTTTCTGGTGTCCTTTGACAGCTCTTTGGTCTTGTCCATATTGGAGTTTGATGTGTAACTGTTTGAGGTTGTGGACAGGTGTCTTTTATACTGATAACTAGTTCAAACATATGAGGCCAGAACAGTCTCAATAAGAATTAAGTCACACAACGTTTTCCACAAATGCACACGTTCATTCGGAAATCCACATTCTGTGTTTCACAAATATAATTCGGAGGAACACAAATGCACACGCTCATTCGGAAATTCACACTCTTTGACTCATAAATATAATGTGAAAAAATAAGTCACGCAACACTTTCCACAAATGCGCACGCTAATTCTGAAGTTCACACTCTGTGGATCACAAATATAATTTGTAAGAACACTTGTAATATAAACTCAGATCATGCGAATTGCTGAACGTGCATTTACGAACAGCTTCTCATTTGTGAACCTTTCCGCGTTTGTGAGTGAAATCTGTGTGGTGCATTCACGGACAGCTTCTCATTTGTGAACCTTCCTGCATTCGTGAGAGAAATCGGTGTGCTGAATTTTGAGACTCTCCTAACGTCGCAGGTCAACAAACGTCACCATTGGCTAATGAACCTGTCAATCAAATATATGCTTCTGCCAGGGCTGTTCGCTTTCAGCCAATCATATGGCTCCTTATGTCACAGAACAGATCTGCTGTGCGCATGCGCATTGCAGTTCACGCGGCAGAGCAGGATGGACCGGTCACGATCTGTGAGTAATAGTTTTATCTTATTCCCTCGTTGTAATTGATGCAATGTTATAGAATTATGAGTAGAAGCGTTCTTCATGATCAAGTAAAATGTTTTATGTTAAATTCAGTCCAGACGTTACGTGAAGTCTGGTCCATTCTTCATCTAGTTTAACATCAAGCTAAACTCAAGTGAACATTTGTTTAGTTAGCGTATCTAGGTACCATTTTTTTAGGCCACGGTTGTCAAACTCAAGGCCTTGGTCTATTTTTATTTGCCCCGCGAAATCAAATATCAAATATATAATATTAAACTGGCCCGCCGGGCGATTTCGCTAATAAGACTACTAATCCCATAGTGCTTTGCGGCGTTAGCGCGCGAGACGAAGCAAGCCCTCTTTTATGTTAACATCATTAGCATCCATGCTAGTCGAATCAGCGTGTGCAGCGTTACCCTCAGTCTTAAACAACTGAAGATACTCCTCTAAGCGCCCAGTTTACTCAGCGAGTTTCCGACTTTGAACGCCTAGAAAGAAGGTATCTGGCTGGAACAGGTGACCATCAGAGTGGAGCGAACTGAGCTTGAAATATTTAATTGTCATGCACTTTTTCTGCTCCAAAGCATGAACGTTAATAACTGAGATATTTTCATAGAAGATAATTGCTATTATTGGTTTTCACAGATCTTAACTTATTTAATTATCTAACATGTTATTGTATGGCTGTTGTACCTTTCATTTGGTAATTGATTGTTTTGACCCCTATAAAAATGTGTCATATGAGAGTGTTTGTGCTTGAATTACATAGATCATGTACCTGAAGGTAGCTGACAACAACCACCCACCTTGCCTTCTTCAGTGAAGCTGTGAATGAGCATGGCTTTCCTCTGAGGTATTCATGTTATTCTCAACTTTACCCTCTGTTACCCTGTTACAAATCTGCTTTTGCCTAAAGTGTGTTATTGACCAAAGATAACATGCCATTTGAGGTCATATAGTAAAATCTATGGGGGGGGGGGGGGGGGGGGGGTGAACATTTCCCTCTTTCAAAAAAAATTTCCCCAGCAGAGGGTTAATAATGCCACATTGTTTATTGTTTACTCACTTAGTAGCAAGGTACATAAGGAAATTTCTGTGAGACTCAAATTGATATAGATTGTTATAGATGTGCATTAAAAAAGTTTGAAGCGAGATTCTAATGTTTTTTTTTTCATGGTGAGAGGAGATCATGGCGGAGAAAATGTAGGTGTTGCAGAATTAATGTTCTCAGTTCGTGGAACTGACACCAACAGCTTCATTGCAGGAAAAAGTGTACACAATCAACGGTGAGTTTAACCTAATTTGGAAGCTTTGTGTCTGTGCGCGCGTGCCTGTGCCTGTTGACCTGCCCAGGGTACCCTTCGTCTCACACTTTGACTGCTAGAGATAGGCACCAGTCCTCCTGCGACCATTCAAAAGATAACTCAAGTTGAAAACGGATGTATGGACATGTAAATTTGTGTGTATATTATAATTTTCTTTTATTTAATCCCCCTCCAAATCCAGGATCGAGCGCCTGTGGCGTGATGTCTTCATGAGTGTTACTGGTCTATATTACTACATCCTGCACTCTCTGGAAGACCAAGACTTGCTCGACATCAGTAACATCCTTCACATGTTTTGTTGCCACTATATTTTCTTGTCTCGCATCCAGGCCAGCCTGGATGTCTTTAGAGATGCGTGGGACAACCATCCAATCAGGACAGAGGAAAACATGACACCAAATCAGCTGTGGCATCTGGGCCAGGCTCTGAATCCTGTTTCTGATCCAGGGGCAAATGTATGTTCTGTTAAAATGACTGATCACATGTCAAGTTGATCCTTAACTATAAATCAAATGTTCAACACTTTGATAATCTACCTCTGCTCTATGCTTCTTGGATTCAAGACAAAATGGCTGTTGAAATTACAGTTCTGTTTGTGTGCACCTCTAGTGGACACTGTCAACTATAATGTCATGACATTACAAAGTCATGACACATCTGCAAGTTCAAAATGCAAGGCATTAGACCTTCCAGATGTGATATTCTCACTGCTGTTTTAACATAAAATCTGCCCATTAATTTAAAAAATAATAATAATTTATGAAATAATGGAGATGCTAGGTTCTGCCTGACATCATAGATGTTAAGTAATTGTTAAAAGGTCATGATAGGGCTTTATTAAATGTGTTTTCTTGAGATTCATTTTGCACAATGCTCGTACACACTTTCTTTTTCCAGGTATACCGCCACCAGAGATTGAATGGGAGGAGAACGGATACATGACTGAACCTCATCCTGGGATCAGTGTCCCTGTACTGGACAGTCCTCTTTCAGATCATGAAATGTTGGAACTGCAGGACAACATTAATCCGTTGCAACATTCAGACTCTTTTGGGAGTGGACATATATCTTCACACTGTCCAGTATGTTGAGAACTTACTTGAGGCTAGATGATTACATGTGTGAAGAAGGAAGGAGAGAGAAGGTAGGGAGTTAGGAAGAAAGAAAATAATGAGACAGGAAGGAAGAAAGTTAAAAAGTGAAGGAGTGGTCCATTTTAAGGTTAATATTCTGTATATTGTTATTCAAGGGATTTGCCGTCGTAAATATGAAATGCTAAAGGATAGACCCCAAAATAGATGTCTAAATTCATTTATAGTTGTGTATTTCCTTAAAGTCTTTGTCAGCCTGATTTATTTTAGACCAGGAATGTATTTGAAAAGGCTGCTGTTCACTTCATCTATGCTACAATTCTTCAAAATGTAGATGTTCTATCATTACTAGTGTTGGTTTAGTAACATGCATCTTCCTGTGTATCCAGCTCTAATAAAAACATTTAAAGGTGAAGCACCTACTTATCAGGAGATCCATTTATTTTTACATGTTATTGTTTGAATTTTGTCTCGTTTCATAACTTTTGCTCAACATTTAAGGGGAACTGTTACCCTGCGATCATCTTCATTACACTTGAAAACTTGTACTATACCTCCGTCCGTCTACTTATTAAATGGAATAACATGACAAGATTCTATCTACTGGTTTTTTGATCAAGGGATGATTAGGTGTTGTGAGAAGATTCTCTATGCTTCTGAGTCTGTGTTAAGTTGCAACTGGACACACATACCCACACACAGTTTGTTCATTTGTTCTCAGAATGAGAATAATGTCTTTTAGAGTTAAAAAGTTATTTTTTTTTCTTGATGTCACTGAAGGCTGTGTTAGAAATATATGCAGCTCATTAAAAGGAAAAGTAACTGATGTAACCAAAAGCCTGAACACAGGAGAATAGAGACACCTGCCAAGATAAAGACCTGGAGCTTTTGCTCCTTTTCAGAGTCACTCCCATGGAATAGGCCTGATGATTTACTAGCTTCTCTTACCTTCTCTGCAGACAATGTTTAATATGAGCTTCAAGAGGTCTCTGCCCCTAACGGGGTTTGCTTTCACTTAGTAAAAATGCATAATTTTTCTGAATAAGATTATTAAGAGGCCACCCATATGGTGGAGCGTTGGTAATGTAATGTAACCGGTTAGATTTGTGTCCGACTTGATGCCGACTTGCTCTGACGTCATGCATACGTAGGCAACGATAACCACTTGAGATCAAGGCGGCCGCAGATTTTGGAGCAAGGCGCTGCAGTTGTTCTCCCTTGGCTGCAAAACCTAGGGGATGACGGGAAACGCCTGGCTCTCACCTGATCTAAGATCTGATCGGTTCATATTTTGATCCAATCATCCGGTGGTAGAACATGAAATGTTAGTTGGTCACATGTATTCTGTAAATCATGTAACGTTAATGATGACAACTATATAGGCCATAAAGAGAAATGTGATTTGTGTTCTTTTGTCATGTTTCCTATGAGCACACTGAACCTACAGCTGCTAACCTTTACTTATTATTACAGTCATGTCTCCATATACAATATATGATATCCACAAGCACGTGAGGATGTGTTTCAGCTGCTAACAGGCACCAGAATTAAAATTGAAAATTGAACAAGTATGAACGCTAACGCGATATCTTCATCCATCTTCACCCCCGAGCTACACATGCAGGAAATTGTGTCCGACTTATGCGCACAGCAGATCTGTTCTGTGACATAAGGAGCCATATGATTGGCTGAAAGCGAACAGCCCTGGCAGAAGCATATATTTGATTGACAGGTTCATTAGCCAATGGTGACGTTTGTTGACCTGCGACGTTAGGAGAGTCTCAAAATTCAGCACACCGATTTCTCTCACGAATGCAGGAAGGTTCACAAATGAGAAGCTGTCCGTGAATGCACCACACAGATTTCACTCACAAACGCGGAAAGGTTCACAAATGAGAAGCTGTTCGTAAATGCACGTTCAGCAATTCGTATGATCTGAGTTTATATTACAAGTGTTCTTACAAATTATATTTGTGAACCACAGAGTGTGAACTTCAGAATTAGCGTGTGCATTTGTGGAAAATGTTGCGTGACTTATTTTTTCACATTATATTTATGAGTCAAAGAGTGTGAATTTCCGAATGAGCGTGTGCATTTGTGTTCCTCCGAATTATATTTGTGAAACACAGAATGTGGATTTCCGAATGAACGTGTGCATTTGTGGAAAACGTTGTGTGACTTAATTCTTATTGAGACTGTTCTGGCCTCATACAAACAGGGGCCAATATTGTTGATTCAGCCAACAGTAGAAGGGTATGAAGAGAGAAAAGTGAAAGTAGAAACTGAAAATGAAGTCGAAGTCCCCGCTCTACCGATGGGCAGAGAATGAGTGTGTGGCAAAGTCCGGCTGCTTCTGGAGAGGTTGAATACTAAATAAATAAATAAATAAAATAAAAAAATTACATATGTGTATGTATATGTGTGTGTGTGTGTGTGTGTGTGTGTGTGTGCGTGCGTGCGTGCGTGCGTGCGTGTGTGTGTGTGTTATATATATATTTATGTATGTATTTATATATGTATATGTGTATATATATATATATATATATATATATATATATATATATATATATATATATATATATATATATACATACAGTATACTGTATATATAAATACAATAAATGATCAAATACGTGAAATGTCCCGTCATTGTGAACCCTGTTATTTAACTGTTTTGCCTTCTTGTGAAGATTGTTGCAAACAGGAACATTAAACTTGATTAACACCAGAGCCATGCGCACTACGCCATTATCTCCATCTCTGTAAATGACGCAAAAACAAATTAATCGGAGCCTTTTCTTACCCTTTCAACATTTTTTAATGTAAAGTTTAGTTCACCACAACGTTTAATTACAACAATCCAATGAGACAGAGCCTGGATTTGTATTCTGAACACTTTAAACATGTTTTAAAAGGAGACGTGTGTGACACGTCAAAAAGCGTCACCTGCTCGACATTAAAACCACTAACCGAGTGAAAAATATCTAAGTACTGTCGACACAGACGGGCTACAAGTTCTGGGTCAATTTTATACAAACTGTTTTATTTATTATCTTCTGTTGAAAGATAACTTTAAGATACATGAGCGACTGGCATTGGTTGCTGTCACCTGTTGTGATTGGTTAAAGCAGCTCTCTGCTGTCTGAGGGTAGGCCACGCCCACAACGCCCCGGCTGCTGTGGCTCCCAGTGTTTTCTTTACTGTCGGAAATGTGTAATAATGGCTCTTTGATGGGAAAAGGTTGCCGACCCCTGAACTACAGCGTCATCAACAATGGTGGGAGGAGAGAGAGGTGCATTTTCTAGCTGGAAATATAGTCACTATTTTGAGTTTGTATCAGCTAAAGAAGAAAATATTAAGGTTCGTTGTACACTCTGTGCTGGCTCTGTGTGTTTTATTTTTTATGAATACTATTTATTTTAAGTGAGGTCAAGAAAAACTGTTTTTATTTTATTTTTATACAAACATGCATTATGTCAGGCAATAGGTTTTAAGTTCAACTTAAAATGTAAGAAGATACGTTGTTGACATTACTGTTAAAAACATTTGCAATAAAGTGAGTGTTGGCAAAACCTGTTGTAGTTTTTATGTTGAGGCAGTGGAGAGTGTTTTTGGTAGATGCTGAAAGTAACTAATAAAGTAACTCGTAATCCAACTTAGTTACTTTTCAAATGAATGAATCAGTAAAGTAACTAAGTTACTTTTTGAAGGAGTAATCAGTAGTCAGTAATCTGATTACTATTTCAAGGTAACTGTGGCAACACTGGCCCCAAGAGAGGTGCTTAGTTCCTTCCAGTTTGAGCATCTTTAGGAGACAAAACTACAACTTTCAGAGGAGCATAGCCACTCGGACACATAGGCACCCATGCAAAATACATGCTTGCTTGCCTACATCCCACAATGCATTGTGGCCTTATGTCACAATCTATTTTTAGCTACGGTAGAGTATGCTATTTTCATAGAAAGCAGGTCATGCCTTTTCACCTTATACGTTTCACCACCCAAGCTGTCTTTACTCAACTGCAACAAGGAAAATGTTGCTTTACATTCTACTACCTCTTTAAAGAGCAAGTCACCCCCTACAAGAAACAAACATCCACTTCCACGTCATGTTTGAAAAATGCAACAAATGTGTTTGCCTGGCAGACTGAGAGGGCAGAGCTACTAACAAATACACACACAACAGGCTCACAACAGCATTGTGACATCATAATGTAGTGCATCTCTTAGCCAATAGCGGTGGCAGATTGAAATTCAAATGTAGTGCAGAGTTTTTACCTGAAGAGGCAGGTGACAGTTTTAGGCAGAATATTTTAATTTTAACTCAAATGCACTAAAGTGCCAAATTATTGACTTCACATGACTACAGCACGATCAGACACTCATTTATATAGTTTATTAGCAAAAAAAGTTGATTTGGGGGTGACTTGCGCTTTAAAGAGGATGCATAAAAATATTCAGGCTTCATACCCTGTAGTATCAGCTGGATAAGCCACTCCTGGAAAGGTTCTGTTGATCTTCTTTTTTAGCGTCCATGTGGAGTTGCTGAAAGACCCCCCTGAAAAACAAATTGTATCTCTGTTATCTTGCTTTTATTAAATATCGTTAAAAAAGGGTATATTTCAGATAAATAACTATGTTGATTTTGTTTAGCTACTAAATAACTACTGGCAGCCGATTAGCTTAGCTTAAAGGTAAGGTTAATAGAGGAGTAAAACACTTTTAAATACGATCAGTCACAGTGAGTTTCACAAGCAGGCAGAACGTGAAAATTGTCTTCAACCCAAATTTTCTATGCTGGCCGCCAAAAGGAAATAGACAAGTAAACACTTGCATCAGAAAAAAACAGTCCGCCCTACATCACACTGTAAAATTGGCATTTATGAACTCACCCCCTTGGCTTATGACTGGGGAAGGCGGCCCAGAGACAGCAGAGCATGTTTTGGCTAAATACTAGCAAAAGCAGCTACACAACGTGAACATTGCACTTTTTACTCAAGATAGAAGAGCAGATGGCAGCAGCGTAGGAGTTGTGTTGCTGTTAGAAAAGGTATGTGACGAAGCTCTTCTGAGGCAGTTTTTATTTTCTAATCATCCAGGGCTTATTAATGCTGTGTCTGCGCTGTTCTTTTCTTCTAAACATGCATGCAAATTACCAGTAATAACGAATCAGAGCTGTTTTTATTTTATGAAATATGAATGCTATCAGTGCTGTTTTCTTTTCTAAACTTGCAGGCACGTTCACCCGTGTTTAAAATTCATTTTGTTGAATTAAAACAACAACAACAAACCTCCGTGTAGCATCTTTCTGTCTAATTATCTTATGTTATGGCGCTGTGCGCCGGAGACCTGCATGCGGCTGCTGCGCCGCGGCTTGTATTTGAGCGCGGCGTGTGTGTAGAAAACTTTTTTTTTTGTTGGTGCGGCTTATATTGAGGTGCGCTCTATAGTCGGGAAATTACGGTACTCACTCAAACAAGGTGCGGGGTCAACCTTTTTACCCTTTCTTGCTTTTAACCCTCTGGAGGCAGGCGTTGCAGATTTGCAACAGTTAAAACCTACCTACCTGGTAACTCCACATATGAGCATTTTTTAACTCAGAAGTACCCCTGAAGGACTTAGTTGTTCGTCCTTTTATCAAAACTGAGCCTGAGAGGGTTAATTGTCACTGTATTCTTCACATTGAAACGTCAGAAGATGCTGGAAGGCATTAAGCCAGCTTAAAGACTTGGTGCAGAAGGAAACAGCTAGCTAAAGCTTTTCAGCTTACGTACTAATTAAAGAAATGAGATAGGACATTTTGAGGCACATTTAACTTGCTTACCTTACTGAGCCTTTTCCTCTATAAACTGTATGCAAAGGATGGATGTGTCCTCTACAAGGTCCCTCTCTTTCAAGACTGTTCGTATTGTTTCACTATTTTTAGTTTTCAGCTTTGATGCAAAAAGGTGGCTTTGAATAACAAGCAGCTACATAGCTTACATAGTCCTTTATGGTACCACTTTGCAATGAGGTGACCCATGTAGGAAGTTTAAAGATATGTTATTAATACATTTTTAACAATGACTAATTTATTTCAGTGATTAATAAGTCTTTATTATACATTCATTAAGGACAAGAAAGAGAGAAAACTAACTGATTTCTTGCAGAATAGTGATCTATTTTCTCTTTCTCACTCCTTTTTAATGCATTTAATGTTTAATGCAAACAATTATAAACGATTTCTAAAGTGTTACAGATTAATTAATAACATCTCTATTGTGAGGAACATGTATTTGAACACCGTGCAATTGTGCAAGTTTTCCCACTTACAAATCATGAAAGGTCTGAAATTCACATTGTAGATGTATTCCCACAATGAGAGACAGAATAAAAAAACAAACAGGAAATCACACTTTATTTGTACTCTAGAGAAGTATTTGAACACTTGGTAATCAGCAAGAATTCTGGTTCTCAAAGACCTGTTACCTGCCAATAAACGTCCACCTCTACTCCACTATTATTCTAATTTATAGCACCTGTCTGAGCTTGTTAAAGACGCCTGTCCACTCCACGGTCAGTCAGACTCCAACAACTTCCATGGGCAAGACCAAAGAGCTTTCAAAAGACACAGAAGACAAACTTGTGGACCTCCATGAGGGTGGAAAAGGCTGTGGGGCATTTGCCAAGCTGATTGGTGAAAAGAGATCAACTGTTGAAGCAAATGTTAGAAAATGGAAGAGGCTAAAGATGACTGTCAGTCTCCCTCAGACGGGGGATTCATGCAAGCTCACACCTGGTGGTGTATCACTGATGATAAGAAAAGAGAGGAATCAGCGCGGAACTACATGGGAGGAGCTGGTCAAAGACGTGAAGAGAGCTGCGAACACAGGTTCAAAGGTCATCATTGATAGAATGCTACGTCGTCACTGGTTAATATTAGGCATTGCATGGAAGGGTCCCCTGTTCAAGTCAGCACATGCCCAGGCCTGTTTGAAGTTTGCTAATGACCATCTGGATGATTCAGGGGAAACATGGGAGAAAGCCATGTGGTCAGTTGAGACCAAAATAGAACATTTTGGCCCAAACTGCATTTGCCATGTTTGGAGGAAAAATAAAGATGAGTTGCATCCCAAGAACACCATCCCTACTGTGAGGCTTGGGGGTGGAAATGTCATGCTTTTCTATTGAGAGAACAGGACGACTGCACTGTATTAAGGAGAGGATGAAAGGGGCCATGTAGCAACAAGCTCCTTCCCTCAGTCAGAGCATTGAAAATCAGTCGTGGATGGGTCTTCAGATATGACAAAAACCCAAAGCACACAGCTTAATGATCAAGGAGTCAGATTCTCCTTCCGATGAACCACTTGCAGTTTTTGCAAGAAAAAAATAAACGATAAGCAAAAATTATAATTAAAGTTTAAACACAATGAAATGTTAATAGAGAGGCAATAATTAGAGAAGCATCTACCGTAAGAAGCATATCAAGGTTCTGGAGTGGGCTAGCCAGTCTCCAGACCTAAATCCAACAGAAAATCTTTGGAGGGAGCTGAAACTTTGTGTTGCTCAGCGACCTGACATATCTAGAGAAGATCTGCGTGGAGTGGGCCAGAATCTTTGATACAGTGTGTGCAAACCTGGTCAAGAACCACAGGAAGCGGTTGACCTCTGTAATCACAAAGAAAAGCTTCTGTTCCAAATACAATCACTGAATTTCTCAGGTGTCTAAATACTTATGTGCAGCTGTGCAATACAAACACAAATGCGATGAAAATGTGATTTTCTGAAATGGTGTTCCTCACATTCTACTGTGAATTTCAGACCCCTCCGAGATTTCTAAGTGGGAGAAATGGCAAAATTGCAGACTGTTGAAATACTTATGTTCCTCACTGTATAAACATCTTACTAGCATTTGAGCCTTGGTATAAAGTTGTACCTCCTTTGCTGATACCAAGCTTAAAAAGCTTAATCTTCTTAAAACAATGATTTACCTCATTTTTTTAGTGTTTAGAGGTTTGATACACTCATTAGTTCTTAGAGAGAGGCCCATGTATCATAAGCTTTAACACAAAGGTCCCCCTCACATTGAACTACAGCTATGGTCTCTTCAACCAATTAGAGCAGGACTGGACTGCAACACGTCCTTCAATGTGAGGACAATCATAATGCTGTCACACTAATCACTAGTCCCTGCTTTATTTCATGTCCTTTCCTACACCACCACGCTATGTGTCAGCAGCACACCATAACACTGATACCACATGACTGTATCACACCATGGCTCCGCCCTAGCATGACTTTCCAACCTCACTACCTCCAAAAGACCAGCAAGAAACTACAGCGTAGTGTAAAGATTTAGCTCGTAGCATAGTCATCATCCAGTGTAAAGGAACAAGTAAATTCATTACACTTGAACAAAATAGATATCTTTCTTACTGTGTAATCTTTCTCTGACCATCTGACTTCGGTCTGTCATTTGGGATCCGTTTTTAGCCACGGACACATGGTCGACCTGTGAAGACATCATGGTCCAGTGCAAAACAATACTTGATTACTAGTTCTCGAAAGGATGAAAAAGACAACGTCAAACGATGAACCACCACTCACTGAGTTTCTGAAGACATCTTCAACCAGATGCCTGATGAGCCGCTCAGTAGGTGGTAGCATGGAGGTCTTGTGGTGAAACTCACATGCCTCCAGCACCGTCAGGAGGTCAGTTCTTCTCACCATCACATCCTCACACATGCTCAGCAGCAAACCCTCCAGCTCAGCGCTCAGCTGCACTGGCTGGGAAGAAATGAATAAGAGTGATCTAGGTAACACACTAGTGCGGAGAATATAGATAACACTGGCTGTGAACGGAGGCTGAAATACCTGGTTTTGAGGTAGATGATAGTCAGCGCACCAGTAAAGAGTCATCCCCAGTGAGTACACAACCATCTGAGGAGCACATTTGTTTATTCAAGCTCAACGCCACAGTCATTTCTACAGAAACAACGTATGCTACATGAATGTGTCAATCATGTCATTTTAAAATATTTTATTTTATTGGGAAAATGTTGTGTTTTAGGATTCATTGCAGACAGAAAATTTGCTCTGGTGATCCCTGAAGGTATTAGACGAAAGAGAAGAAGAGAAGGTTTGTGTCTTATCAGTGGTGGCTCATCCATGGAGTTGCTAGGGTACCACGCTTCAGATGTGGAGGGAGAAATGTTCATCTTTAAATACATTTTCTGGTTAGCATGCTAAACTAACAGAAGCTAATCACTGGCTAGTTCTTACAGTAATGAACTGACTTTTATCCCTAAAAAGACCCATGTGCATCATTAACATATTGGAACTTCAACTGTTTGATTTAATTTATTTATTTTTCCTTATTGTGGATTTGAAGCCATTTTCCAACTATAATTGAATACTTACGCTGGAATAGGAAGGGTTCTCTTTTGGTACATTAGCCTCAATAAAAAGTTGTTTCACCAGCCACCACTGAGTCTTATCTTTTAACATGAAGTCAGTTTAATTTAGAAATATATATTTTTATTCTGAAAAATAGTGTGCTGCTATTTGTCAAAGCTATGGCTATCAGTGTGATCCCAAAAATAGGACAGATCATGATTGTTGAACATGTTTTGGTAACACTTTACAATAAATGTCTTTTTTTTTGTCTTTTTTTTTGTTACTTGGTGCATTATTAAGCATTACCATTGTAATGTCCAGAAATGGTCAGTTTTCGTCTACAGACTGGCCTACATGCCATCGGTCAGCTGCAGACATGAATCTCCCTCTGTGCGTCTGTTAATCTTCCAAGTTGCAGGAAAAGATTCGACACTGCGTGTTTACACTCAGCTTGGCAAGACTTCAACATCATGTTCCCTTCTCAAGGTCCCTCTATGCCAAGCCTGTCTGCTTATCTAGGCCGGACTGGACTGTTATAAGAGGGACTGTTTTCAGCTCGTATGAGTCAATCATTCGTGAAATGGAATAATAATAATGTCTTCATTAACCTGTGCTTAAATCAGTAAGGTTGTTAATATTTGATTTTATAGTTTTAATAATGCTTAATAATGCACTAAGTAACATTAATAAAAGGGCCCATTTTGCAAAGTGTTACCCATGCTTTTATTTTCAGCTCTTACGAGCAACACAGAGACGTTTTCAGAGCTTTTGGACCTTTTCAGCTGCAGCTCTGGAGGAGGCCGTGTGACCCTGCTGGACTTCAGGAGCTGTGAAGGAGGCCACGTCTTCATATCTTGCACAGCTCTTAAAGGCAAGATTTCCATTGGCTGACAGAAGCACAGATCCTGGGCTCAACACACTGCACATGTTTCCTGGACCTAAACAGAGAGTTGACCACAAACTGGTCACCAAGACATTTCAAACTTGTCTCTGTTGCTATGAGTAAATGTTTTCAGCATTTATCTGTTTGGTTGTGACAGAATTAAACCTCCAAATATTCCCTTTAAATACAAACGAGAAAAAAGGTCACCCTTTTTGAAAATATCCAGTAAGGCATCGGTGGCGGCGAGCAGAAGACACCATAGCTCATCCTCCTCCAGCGGAGAACCCCGGACCTCCAACACTTCTGTCAGGGTCACAAATGTGCCCATCCTGTGGGAAACACAGTAGAGATTAGTAGAGTGGTAGTATTGGTAGTAGAGATTTGCTGTTTAACTACTTGCTGACACGTTTCGGCTACACCTGTAACCTTCTTCAGAGCATTGTTGATGTTGGTGGCATCACTTCTGTCTCTTCTGTCTCTTAGCCCATGGGCAGCAGAGGATGATGTCGCCCTCTACTGCTTGCGTCCACCACACCGATGACCATGTCCCATGAACTGACCAGTGTATACACACCTTTGGCCCTGTTCATTGTCCTGGGTCCACATATCCTTATTTCTATCGCTTCCTCAATACATCTTCAGTATTTATGTTTCTCTGTGTTTATGATCTGTCCCAGTCCACTAAATGATTTTCCCAGGAACAGTGGTCTGTTAGGGCTTTTTATTGTGCTTTCTGCCTCCTGTTTCACTGCTCTTGTGTGCCTTTGACTTGTTTCCTTCTCACATTCTTTGTGTTGAATGGGTTTCCTGTTTCTCTTATGTATGTTTTATTGCAGAGATTTCACGGTATTTTATATGACTCCACATTATGTTGGTGGTGCTGTCGATGTTGTTCAGGTGTTAGAGTCTCCTGTTTGTCTTTTTGGAATGACTTGTAACATGTCATCTACGTATCGTTTCCATACTTTTATTTGGGTGGGGGTTGCTGTGGTTGTAAATGGTTCCATTGAATTTGAGGAAGGCGCGAGCAGTAGAAGGCGTCTACAGGTGTAGCCGAAACATGTCAGCAAGCAGGTAAATGATACATCTAATGTGTTCAGAAAAAAACCAAACGACTGAATTGGATAACAACATAGAATGATCTCAAGGCATGGCAAGGCAGCTTTATTTCAAATACAGAGGCAATTCAATGTGCTTTACAATTATCAGGACATGATATGAAAACACATAAAGGCACAAATTAAAATACACATAGACAGAATTACAGTTTAGAGCTAAAGGGGAAGACCAAGTTACAGTGCAGATTACAGTAGAGATGACGCATGATAAGAAACAATTGATTTAAAGGCGGATGAGTACATTAGGGTTTTTAGTTTTGTTTTAAACAACACTAGAGTTGGGGCAGATCTGAGGTCCTGGGGAAGCTGATTCCATATGTGAGCAGCATTGTAACTAAATGCATCTGCACCATGTTTTGTTCTGACCCGTGGTTCTACTAGCTGATTGGGATCTCAGAGCCCTGTTGGGTGTATATAGAGGAATGATATGTGACATGTATTTTGGCCCCATGCCACTGAGTGATTTATAAATTAGTAGGAGCCCTTTGAAATGTATTCTGTGGTTTACTGGTAACCAGTGTAGGATCTAAGAACAGGAGTGATGTGCTTCGTTTTCTTAGTTCTTGTTAAGACTCTAGAAACAGCATTCTGAACAAGCTGCAGTTGCTTTACAGCTTTAATGGGAAGACCAGTTAGGAGACCGTTACAGTAGTCCAGTTGACAAGAAATAAAAGCATAAATACGTTTTTCTAAGTCTGGTCCAGTCGTTTACTTGTTCTTAAAGTGACAGTGTGCATTTTTACCATTAACCTCTGGAAATATCCATCGAAAAGTTGTTGAAAATGAAGAAAATAATGTTCAGTCACTGAAAAATATTGGTGTCTTTGTAAAATATAACCATAAAACTCGGGTCTGAAGTGCATAAGGTGTATAATATGGCTTTTTTGGGACACCATGTTTCCTTCACACCAGCTCAGGGTCCTGAACCTGTCACTGACATCAGATGATTGTCTGGATGTACGACTTATGGAAGATACGTTACCACGTTCAAAAACATTTAGGCAGTAAGAAACTCGAGTTTAATAACAAAACTGCTAAACTCTTTTCGAAACCTATGTGAAAAAACAGAATCCAAAAACAGATGCAATATACAGTATTATGGCCGTGTGGTATTGCCGTAGTATGATGATGTAGGATGACCCTTGAGCAGATCCAGAAAGTACAGCACCACAAAACTAGCATCAGCATCGCATTCTCTCAATGGAACTAACTGAAGGACCATCAAAGTCTGAGGATTCACGCCGAGGTTGCATGCTTTATGCTCCATAGGAAAAAGCATTAACTGTAAAGTTTTTTTAAACTAGTGACAGTCATGGTGATATGGTGTAAAACTATCCTGAAATGCATGTACGTACTGCCCCCTAGCACCAGGAAACTACACACTGTCACTTTAAGAAGACTAACGTTGGATCCCTTTTCCAAAAGGCTACAGATAATGCACCTCTGTACATGATATATATGTCACAATGTATCCTCATACCGAGTCACTTTATACCACCTTTAGGATTCAACTTTTAAATCATATGAAACATCTAAAACAAAATAAAGTGCTCTCTGGCTCTTTCTACCATTGCAGGATGGGTTGCCAAATAGACTTGTCACTCACTGTATTTGATTTTCCTCATGTTATTTTCTCTAAATTTAAATGTTTACTGATGAGCCAAAGTTGCCTGAAGGGTTGTGTTGCTCTAAGCGCTAACTTGGAGCATGTTTGATGCCATGGTACACTTATGTGATTCCTTATCCACATTTAGCGCCAGTCAGCTGAAATAAAACCTACTTACATGCTCATTAAACATGGACGTAGCTCAATTAATGAATCACTCAATCATTAGTGTGGATTCAAAACAGGATCAAAAAAACAACTCAAGAAACACATGCAAAAACATTTTTTAGACACTTAAAATCTAAAGCTATAAAACTATAAAACTGGTTAATTACCCAGCGCTTCACCAGAACACTTACATTTGTTTTAGGGATGGACAATATACTGACATCAATATCGGTATCGGCCAATGTTAGTCATTTTTAAAAATATCGGTATCGGTTTGATAAATAAAACCGGGCCGATATTAACAATCGATATTTTTTCCATCTCGTCTCCATTTGTTTGCCTGTTTCAGAGGGTGAGGGGGGTGATGTGTATTTGTTTAATCATGTGAACAGTGAATGAAATCATCTCAGAACCATAAATGTGTGTGGCGTGTGTACATAATAACGTAAATTCAGCTTTATTAATTTTCATTCTATACAAAATCTGCTGATTTTAGAAGCATTAATGTCAATATATCTGTATTGGCAAATATTGGTTATCGGCCATAACAGTGATCCCAATATCGGATATCGGTATCGGCCCAGAAATTTCATATGGGTGCATCACTAATTTATTTCTTCACTTTGGTAGGGTCAGGTGTGGTCTGATTATAAAAAATATGGCGCCAAAATCAAGTAACTCAACTGAAAGAGAACAGAGATTTAGGAGACGTTAAGTTTAGAATGCTTATGAAACAGTTTGTAAAATGATTTTGATGCAGTGAAACTTTGCAGATTGAAGCTTGTCTTACTTAATCCTTTAAGACCGGCAGGAGCGCCGGCACTCCCATTTGCATATCTGTGTTCAAATGCTTGTAGAACTGAAACTATATAAGATATAACAAAACTTTTTTTTGCATATTAAACCGGAGGAGTTACACTTATATTGCACACACTGAACATGTCGCAGAGCGCTGCATATTTTCGCTAATGAGTTTGCAAAAAACAACCAAAATGTGCAAATATGCACCTACTTCTCCAGGAAGTTTTCCACCACTCAGCAGAAGTATGGCGTGGGTGATCGCGAACTGCTGGCCATAAAATGGGCGCTGGAAGAATGGAGACAGTGGCTTCTGGGCGCTACCCAGCCGTTTACGATTTGGACGGACCATCAGAACCTGACTCACATCCGCTCCGCCAAGCAGCTTAATCCTCGCCAGGCCTGCTGGGTCCTCTTCTTCGATCCCTATGAGTTCCATCTCGCCTACCACCCTGGAACCAAGAATCAGAAGGCGGATGCCCTCTGCCGTCAGTTCTCACACTCCACGTCCACGTCTGAGCCCGCACCGATTCTACTCGATCACCGATTCCTGGCCCCCCTGAGGTGGCCGTTGGAGGAGACTATTCAGCACGCCCTCCGGGATGACCCCGCTCCTCCAGAGACTCCCACTAATCGTCTCTATGTCCCTACTTCTTGCCGCAGCGAGGCGCTTTCCTGGCCCCATTCGTCACACATGTCAGGCCATGCGGGGTTCTCTCTGACTCTTAAGTTCCTCCAGCAGGCTCTCTGGTGGCCACACATGGCTAAGGACATTAAGGAATACACTGGCGACTGTGACATCTGTGCTCGCTCAAAGACAACCAGCCAGGCCCCTGTTGGGGTTCTCAGAGCACTCCCGGTGCCCAGCCGTCCCTGGTCCCCCTGGTGGGCCTGGATTTTGTCACGGGACTCCTGCCAGTCAACAACCTCAGTATGGTCCTCACGGTCACAGACCGTTTCTCAAAAGCGGTCCACTTCATCGCCCTTCCGGGTCTCCCTTTGGCCCGATGCACTGCGGAACTGTTCCTGGAGAACGTGGTGCGCCTCCACGGCTTCCCTGTTGATGTGGTCTCTGACCGGGGTCCCCAGTTTATGGCCCGATTCTGGAAAGCCTTTTGCCGCCTAATGGGAGCATCGGTCAGCTTATCCTCAGGCTATCACCCAGAGACCAATGGTCAGACGGAGCGGATTAATCAACAGCTGGGTCGGTACCTCCGGTGCTTTGTCTCGGCTCAACCCTAGCAGTGGCCTAAATACCTCCTTTGGGCAGAGTTGTCCCACAATCTACACACCTCCTCGTCCACTCACATGTCCCCTTTCGAGGTCTGCTATGGCTACCAGCCCCCAGTCTTCGCCCACCAGGAGCCCGAAGCTGCTGTTCCTGCCGCGCAATCCCTAGTGAGGCGCTGCAAGAACGCCTGGATCAAGGCACGAGCTTCCATCACCCGGGCCAATGCCCGTTACGCTCACCAACATCTCCGCCAACACCGTCCTGGTCCCTCCCATGTTCCTGGGGATAAGGTCTGGGTGTCCACCACGGGCCTCCGCCTCCGTGCCGGATCCAAGAAGCTCGCTCCCCGGTTCCTCGTGCCTTACACTGTACAGAAGGTCATCAACCCAGTCTCGTACCGGCTGCGGTTGCCGGCGAGTCTCCGCATTCA